AGTGCACATTCCTTTAGATAAATCCAAGTGTGGGTGACATAAATATGTGGAACCTTCAGTCTGGTTTGGATACACGGTGATGGGTTTCCGCATGTGTCAGATACCCGGCTGACTAAAAAAACACCCTGTTATATATGTCTACCTATTATGTCTCAAGACCCTCCTCTCCGACCTCACTTTAGGTCAGCCTCCTACTCCTACCCTCCCTGCCATCCACCCCTCCGTGATCACAACCCCTAGCTCGGGTCTAAATCCCTGACACTCCAGCACCTTGGGGACATCTTCCCAGCACTATATAAATGTAATTTGTTGTTGTTGTTGTGATCTCAAAGAAGGGAAGAAGGGGCAGGGCAGAGGGATTGATGGAGAGAGTTACAAAGCTTCAGGGTACAGTGGCTGAAAGCACGGCTGCCGATGGGTATAGGGGAGAGGATGAGGGACGAGCAGGAGACCGGAGCCAGCCAAGCAGATGCAGCAGCTGGGGTAAAAGCAGATTGAACAGGTAGGGAGGTGCCAGGTCATGAAGGCATTTGTAGACAAGTGATTTGTCCTCCCGACGTGAAAGGCACTATACAAATGTAATTTGTTGTTGTTGTTGTTATTAGGTGATCTCCTACCAATAATGTTACTCTCCTGCCTCACTCCGCAATACATATAAAACACCTTTGTCATAGAATGAATGCCTCAAACTCTTAGTACAGTACTTGTATTGCAGAGCACTGATCAAGGGGAAGGGAGAGTTAGAGATGTTGAGCAAGCATGAGTGAATGTTAGAAGGGTTCTGAGGGATTGGTGTAAGATCACTAGATCTGTTTTCATGGACGTTAGTCCGGTCAGCCAGGGCTCAGAGACATTAAAAATCCCTGGATACTATTTGAAAGAGAATGGAGTTTCTCCCAGTATCCTGCCTAACAGGCCCCCGGATAAAATGAATCGATAACTTTGCAGTTGTTTGTGAGACCCTGCTGGTGTACAAACTGGCTGCCACATTCGCCTACAAATGCACAGTCTTTACACCCAACACCAATTAACTTACGCAGCCCTTTGAGGTGTTTCATGTTAAATGCATGGATCAATTGCTGTTGTCCTTACAGACCTTTGGGCTATCTCAGTCCAGCCGTCTGACCACTGATCACATCTGGTACACACTGGCCTGGGATGTCAGTAATGTCAATATTGTTCTACTTCTGCATCAACTGAAATAGTGTATTTCAGCCGATGAGGTTGCTGTTACAGTCCTGCTCATGCCCCTATTCCATTCCTCTTATCTTCTCTCAGGGTAACTCTGCTTTCCAGCTGTTAGATAATCCATTCACATACCTCAGAGTACAATGCACTCTCCCTAATGGAATTCCTTAAACATCTGACCTGCTCGCTGGTAATCATTAATGAGGCCCCTTTCAAATAAAATGAACATTTTGCTCTTGATTTAGAGGTCATTTTGATCGCTGCTCTGTTACAAAGATCCAAGTATTATAATAATAATAATCCTTGCATTTGATATAGCGCCTTATCATGTTGTCGAGACATCTCAAAGTGTTCCATAGGATATACTGTAAAGTGGATTGACTGTGTATTTCATCATAAATTATTGTTATTTATTTATTTTATTTATTTCCAAGCGATTATTAGCCCTGGATAGCGATCTGCCAATCGATTAACAACCTGATTCCTACTTACTGCTAGGTAAACTGAGGCGCGTGGAGTAAGGAAATTTGCCCAAAGTTTCGCCCTGCCTGGGAATCAAACCCAGATCCTCTCGATTGCAAGGCGAGTGCTCTAACCAGTACACTACAGGACTCCACAAAACTCCATAAAAAGTTCACCTACAAAATACACAGTCAACTTTACAGTATATTCTGTGAAATGCTTTGAGACGTATCAACAACAACAACAACAACAAGATTCCATTTATAAAGCGCCTTTCACGTCAGGAGGACGTCCCAAGGCGCTGCACAGTTGGGTCATGACCCGAGCAGGGGGGAAATGGTCAGGGTGAGGGGAGGGGAGGGAGCGAGGAGGGGGGAAATGGTCAGGGTGAGGGGAGGGATGGGAGGGAGCGAGGAGGGGGAAGAGAGTCGAGAGGGGAGCTGAAGGCTCGGTCAAAGAGAAAGGTTTTGAGACCGGCCTTGAAGGAGGAAAGGGAGGAAGCAAGGCGAAGGCACTGGGGGATAGAGTTCCAGAGCCTCGGGGCAGAGAGGCTGAAGGCCCGACCACCAATGGTAGGGCGATTAGGGCGGGGGACGTGGAGCAGACCGGGACCGGAGGAACGGAGGGTATCAACTATGTGATAAGGCGCTATATCAAATCCAAGGATTATTGCCATTATTATTATTATAATGCTGACAGAGAACATTTGGGCTGACTCACTGGTGGTTTGCTTTGGGTGCTGACAAATGAGTGGCTCGTTTAACGACAGTTGTGTTCTGGCTTGCAAAATGTTCTTTCCGATGAACTCTCCCTTCATTGTAATCGAGAGAACTGTTAAGCAGCAGACATTCAAGTTAATCATCAGTCAAGTCAAGTCAAGTGGAGGAGTTGCCAAAAAAGCAAGTGACTCAGTGAGCCGTTCAACGCAGTGCGGTGAAGCAGATTAAAGATGTGGTTTGTCAACAATGTTAATCTGCTCAGTTTTGAAGCTTTTTACCTGGTGTCTCACACCCACTCACAAGGAGTCCACGACTTCTCCCTCGCCTCCTTCAAGGCCGACTCAAGACCTTCCTCTTTGACTGTGCCTTTGGTCATCCTCCCTCCACCCTCCACTCCTCTTGATTTCGCCCCCCAGCTCGGGTGCAAACCCTTGACTGTCCAGCGCCTTGGAAAGTCCTCCCGATGTGAAGGGTGCTCTATAAATGCAATTTGCTGTGGCTGTGGAATCAAACGTGAACTGAAATAGATCTGATGGCCATTAACAGGCATGTTTTCATACCCACTCACTCTGTGACTGTCCTCATTGGGGAGTGGGTAGGTGGAATTTCTCTGGAGTTGAACTACCCTGAATTAGGTAAGCCAGATGCGTCCCTCCAGGGAGAGTGCACATTCCTTTGAATAAACATTTTGGGAATTTCCATGTGTGGGTGGGATGCATGGAATTCTCAGTTCGGCTTGGATACTGTGATGAGTTTCCACACATATCAGATGCCCACCTGACCAAAAAAAAATTCACACCCACTCACAAGGAGTCCAGACTTGCATCTGCTTTTAGGTGGCCCACAAGGTCGCTTTTCTGAGTGAATCCTAGGTGCGGGCATGGCTGTGTTGCAAGCCTTTTCACCCTTTTTTGGTCAGCCGGGTGTACCAGTCTTTAATTATCCTCTGGTGTGTGTCCTGAAATTGCCCTTTGCAAACCTTAATATAATAATAATAATCCTTATGTTTGTTATAGCGCTTTATCACTTTGTTGAGATCCCTCAAGGCGCTTCACAAAATATATTGTGAAGCGGATTGACTGTGTATGTCGTGGGCAAAATGTGGCAGCCAATTGTGTGACCAATTTTTGGGGAGAGGGATTGCCCCCGGAAACCAATCCATCAATTGACTAACAGCCGATTTACTGCTAGGTAAACAGAGGCGTGCGGAATAAGGAAACTTGCCTAAGATTTTGCCTTGCCTAGAAAATAAACCTGTGTCCTCTCGCTTGTGAGGCGAGTATGCTAACAAATACACTACAAGACTCCACTTAAAGCTGTGTCCTCTTGTTCTGCTGTCTCGGTGCATCCGAAAGTATGGTTCTGGGTTTACTTTCTCAATCCCATTTAAAACCCTGCATCACCGACTCGGTCTTGAATAGAAGTGTGGGTCCTAGTTAATTCGACTGGAAACGTATTAGTTCAGAGTAAACACCTCAACTAGTCTAAAACAATAGCTGTATTCATCAGGAGACCCAGGAGGGCGTGGGGCACGAGATTAACCAAGTATTTGCTGATCAATCAGCAAATCTAGTCTGAAAAGTCTGTGTAACCATCCAAACTTTTAATGAAACTCACCAAACATTCAATGTAACTCTCTTGTGTGTAGAAATCAGTAGCTTGTGTCCTCTCCCACACCAGGCCCCGTGACCTCATCACCCCCACCCTCACCCAGCTCCACTGGCTCCCCATCCCTTAGAGGATAGAATTCGTCCTCACTTTCAAGTCCCTCCATGGCCTTGCCCTCTCCTACCTCTCTGACCTGCTGACCCCCTATCAACCTGTCCGCTCCCTCTGTTCAGCAGGCTCCGACCTGCTCCATGTCTCCTGCCCGACCGCCCTACCATCGCCCGCCAGGCTTTCGGCCTCTCTGCCCCCACACTTTGGAATTCCATCCCACAATCCCTTCGCTTTGCTCCCTCCCTTGCCTCTCTCAAGGCACGACTCAAAACCCTCTTTTTCGACCATGCCTTCAGCCGCCCTCCTACCTCTCTGCCCTCCCTCATCTCAATCCTGCGCCCCATGCTCGCGTCCTGATCCCCAACTGTTCAGCGACTTGGGACATCCTCCGGGATGCTACCCTGCATAAGGGACACTACATAAATGCAAGTTGTTGTTGTTGTCAGCCTAGACTATGAGAGCAAAGTCCTGATGTGGGGGCTTGAATCCACAAATTGGAGATCATTAGCGTAGTGGTTAGTGCGTTCGTCTTGCAAGTGAGAGGACCTGGGTTCTATTCCCTGGGGAGCGGGAACAAACCATAGGCAAGTTTCCTTACTCCACGTGCCCCTGTTTATCTAGCAGTAAGTAGGAGTTTACTCAATCCACGAGATTTGGTCACTCAATCCGCAACTGTTTGTGGGATGCTGCTGCGCGCATTTGCCGTGTTTCGCCCACAAAAATGCGCGGTCAATCAACTTTGCAATATATTCTATGATGTGCTTTGAGACAGTCTCAATGACGTGATAGGGCGATGTATAAAATTCAAGGATTATTATTATCATTAATAACCTTCTGACTTAAGAGTCGAGAGCGTTACGGACAGAGCAAGGCTGGGAAACCTCGCCTCCTTCTGAGTTTGAGAACTGGTGCAGTTTCTCAGTAGACTGCGTCGAGTAAATTCCTCGGCAGCCTGCCTTGTGCTATGTTGTAAAGGTGGCTTTGTAAGGGATTTTTTTTTGGGGGGGGGAAATAAGGGACCTCTTATCCATCATACAATCTGGCTCTGGGTGCTCAAAGGAGCTGGGGCTGTATCTCAACGAGGCCATCCCACCCAGTGGCCGGGAACACACAGCAGAGGGAGCTTCTGAGAGCAGGAGAGGGAGAGAGAGAGAGAGAGTTGGTGGACAGAGTTGGTGATTTCTTTCATTAGACTTGGCCAGACAGGAGTCACTGGAGTCACAGTCTCTCTCTCTCTCTCTCTCTCTCTATCTATATATATATCTTTCTATCTCTCTCTCTGTGCCTCTAAACCTGGACTGGCTTTATGCAGCTCGAGTCGACCCTTCATTGCAAGTCTGGGGACTGTGAGCACAAGAACAGTGAACAGTAAGTGATTTGGGGGAAGGTTGGGTTGTTTTTGTCCAAGATGCTCGCGTTAAGACCAGACCGACTTTCAGTGCCAGCGTTGAAACTCCAGACGCCTTCAGATGCTTACCTTGCGATCGGATTGAGTGTGAGCCGAAGGCAAGTCCACAGTGCTACAAACCCACCCTCGACTCCCCCACTCCAGCTGACTGCAAGACAAAAAAAAAAGTTTTAAGAATCTTTTTGTTGCATCAAAACTTTATCACCCCCTCCCACCCTCTCCAAACCTCTGTTCCAACGCATTCCCACATAAATGACACGTTTGCAAAGCAAAATCGTGAGAAACTGCGCAAATAGTCTTATTAATCTGAGACTGTACAGAGGAAAGGTTTTTTTCCTATATGTATATAGATGTATCTGTGTATAACTTTAAAATAAATACGAAAAAATGTCGAATTGTGTAATTGGATTGTAAATCTTTTTCTCTGAGACTCCTGTCTTAGAGACAAAAACAAAGGTTTAGGAAAAAATATACAGTGGGGCAGAAGTGGTTCGAATAAATAGATGATAAATAATAATAATATTCCTTGCATTTGATATAGTGCCTTATCGCATTGTTGAGACTTCTCAAAGCGCTTCACAGAATATACTGTAAAGTAGATTGACTGTGTATTTTGTGGCTGAAACGTGGCAGCCAATTGTGCACAGCCACGTCCCACAAACAGTGGTGGATTGAGTGACCAAATTATTATTACTTTTTATATAATAATAATAATCCTTGTGTTTTGATACAGTGCCTTATCACGTTGTTGAGACGTCACAAAGTGCTTCACAGAATATATTGGAAAAACGCACAGTACTTCTGTTATGTTCTCTGTTCGGGTTTGACCCTATTTAATTGTCGGGATCTTGAAGTTTGACTCTTGCCCACTTTCTCTTTCAGTGAAGGTCTCATCATCACCTCCCAATGCATAAGAAATCAGTCAGGCCAGTGGCAGCAGAGAGAGGAGTGTGTGCCACAGTGAGCGTCACCTGGAATGACAGCCTGGGTCTTCCTCCCAGTCAGTCTGCCTGTCTCCACAATCACAGCGCTGTGGGTCGTGTGAGTATCCATTGCCATTCCTCTGTGCTGTGTGCTGCTGCTCTCTGTGTTGTGGCTGCCTTCACTGCTGTTAGCCTGGCTCCATGGGTCACATTCTCACCTTGGGGTCAGTGCTTGTGAGTTCAAGCCCCAGTTCTTACTGTCTGTGTGTATTACTAATACCTCTATACAGTGTATATCACTAACACCTATATACTGTGTATGTAACTGAGAACAACAATGGCAAATTACATTTGTATCACGCCTTTCACGTCCTGATGCATGTATGCAGTCTACATCATTGACACCTCTATACTGTGTAGTGAATGAAGTCAGTACTGAACATGTAAAGGATTGCATGTGAGCTTTTACTATACATGTAAGAGACACAGAGTTCCTAAACTATTCTGTTCCTAGATATTAAACCATGACAGTAATGTTCACTACTTTCAGAATAAATTATTAATAATATTGAGAAGGAATTAAAAGGACTAATATGCTCATCTTCAGAATAATAATATATAATAATAAACCTTGCATTTAATATAGCGCCTTATCGCGTCTTCGAGACGTCTGAAAGCGTTTCACAGAATATACTTTTAAGCGAATTGACCGTGTATTTTGTGGATGAATTGCGGCAGCCAATTGTGCACAGAAGTGTCAACAGTGTTTGTGGAACACTACAGTGCGTTTCGCCCACAAAATATACAGTCAATTTACTTTATAGTATATTCTATGAAGCGCTTTGAGACTTCTCAAAGACGTGATAAGACGGAGGTGCTACCCAAATTCTCCAATCCCTTTTTTATTGGTGGTTGGTTCTTTATTTAATTATTGTTTCTCCAAAGCATCAGAAAAAGAAAAAAACCTGCTCAGATGGGTATAGTAACTTCAAGCTTTGCCATTTGCATATCCTAGCGATTTATCTACACTGATCTCTTGGCGAGGGGCACAGAGGAGGATGCTATTTACTGAGTGTATAATTTTTGATGGGTTTTAGAACTGAGATAAATGAACATTACCATCTGCAGGTGCGCCTTAAGCTACCTAGGGTCTTTGAAGTGAGGCGCCGCAGTGAAATAATTAAAAGCCCAACACTACCCTAATCATGGCCACTCACAAACTGTTGTGGGTGCAGAACTCCAGCCAGATGCAGACAACATTCCATCATTTCTTTAATTTCCCCAGACACATACCCCAGAGCTGAGTCCTTGCCACTTTAAAAGGCTCGCTGGTCATCAGTTTGCAACATGTAAGCTGCTCTTTGTGTGTCCTCCGTGTGCTGAGCTTCTATCGATTAACCGCTTTACCTCTTCAATTGCGGCTTCAGTCACCTCCCTCATACTCCCCCTCCACTTCCCACCTTAGTCAGGTTTCCCCTCCATCACTGTAAAGGAACTCAGTGACGTAACCCAATATAAAAGCAACGTACAAGTGCATGTTGTTAGTTTTACACCTTGAATGTAAACTGAGGGAGAAGGGGGTTATCAATGGGAGGAGGGCATTATCAAATGATTATTGATTGATCGAGTTGACGATTCATCCAATCGTAGTGCTGTTTTGTTAACCAGAGATCATGAACCGTGGGAACTACTTCCTTTTGTAAATAGCCTGCTCTCAATTACTATACAGGTTGACTCATGTTCAAAGTACTGTCATTAAAACTGTACTGAAACAGGAGCCTTTAAACAGGAAGGCGGAACAGATTTGCTGATAGCTCTATGTATCTTTCAATAACATACTCAATTTCACCACCTCTTCTTGTAAAGATATGCTTTCCAATAAGCAATGAGACAATAATTTGGTGACTCAGTCTTTCCTGGATAAAATGCATGAATGGAGAGAAAGTTTGGCTGGGAAGTGACGCTATGTTAAGACTTGAAATAGTTTGGATTTGAAAGATTATGCATTCTTGGTTCTGTAGATTGAGGAGTTCTTCCAGGAATAAGTGACATAACCAAATTACCTGGAATGACTTGATGCTCATCACATCAAAAGGCCATAGCAGTACTTTTGTTATTTCAGTGTTCACCAGTTACACCAGATATATTGTACATCATAAAACATGGAATGTTATAGCACAGAAACAGGACATTTGATCCATCGAGTATCCATCCATTTTGCCCACAAAATATACAGTTAATTCACTTTACATTATACTCTGTGAAGTGCTTTGAGACGTCTCGAAGACATGATAAGGCGCAAGGATTATTATTGTTATTATCAAGATGTTTCAAAGCACTTCAAGGGATTTACTGTAAACTGCAGCGACTGTGTATTTTGTAGGCAAACATGCCAGACAATTTGCACACAGCAATGACCCACAAACAACCATGACGTGAATGAACAATTTTATCTGGGGGTTTGTTGGCTAGGACACCAGGAGAAAGAAACTCCCTTTTCTTTTTGAATAGCGCCATGGGATCCACCTGAACAGGCAGAGGCGACCTCGGTTTAAGTATTCCACAGCTCAGACAATCTATGTAAATAAATATTTGTATGTGTGTCACACTTTAAAATATCTATGCCCAGAGCAGAAAGATTAATCACATTCCCTATTTCTTACTGAGGAATTAATTTCAAACATACTGCCAAGTAGACCCCTATGTTTGTGGAGTCCTGTAGCTCAGTGGTTAGAGCACTCGCTTTGCAAGCGAGAGACCTGAGTTCAATTCCAGGCAGGTCAGGGCGAAACCTTGGGCAAGTTTCCTTACTCCACACGGCCTAATAATAATCCCTCCAAAACCAAAAACAATAATAAATTGGTCATTTTCAATCTATGACTGTTTGTGGGACATTGCTGTGCGCAATTGGCTGCCGCGTTCGCCCACAAATATACAGTCAATTCACTTTACAGTGTGTTCTGTGAAGCGCTTTGGGACGTCCTCCCGACGTGAAAAGCGCTATATCAAATGCAAGGATTATTATTATTATGTGTGGTGAAAGGAAACTTTGCTTGCTGGTCATTTGGTTATGATTGGAGGACTATTTGTAATAATAATAATAATCCTTGCATCTGGTATAGAACTTTTCACATCTTCTAGACGTTTCAAAGCACTTCACAGAATATACTATAAAGAGCATTGACTGTATGTTTGTGGGCGAAATGTGGCAGCCAATTGTGCACAGCAGTGTCCCACAAACAGTCATGGATTGAGTGACCATATTATTATTATTATTTCATAAGGGATCATTTCCCCGGAAAGTGATCCACCAATTGACTAACAACCGGGTTCCTACTTACTGTTTGGTAAATAGAGGCGTGTGGAGTAAGGAATCCTGCCTACATGTTTGCTCTGCCCTGGAATTGAATCTAGTTTGCGAGGCATGTGTTCTAACCAACACACTACAGAACTCCACTAGTTCCCAGTCCTAATCCACTTATTATCATTTCATGCAAATAAGGCTCAGAGTGGACATTCTCGCTCACTGAGTGTCCCATCAGTCTCCGTGGAGATGGTTCAAAGCCTTTTGTTCGCACTTGCTTCATTGTAGGCTGAACTTCCAGTGGGACCTTGAGATCCTTGTTTGCTCTTTCCCAGGGATCAGGATGGTGACGGAAGAAAGGGATGAGAAAAACAAGACTTGCCTTGACTTGCTGACTGACTGCTTGATGTCTGATTTGCTTCAACAGATACGCTGTGGCAGTGCGCAACCACCATGTGTGCCCTGTGGATAACTGGTACAGTATACTGGCACTTCCCTATCGATAATAAAATGATCAGGCATTGCAGACATCCTCTGAGTATATATTCTTACATGCTTAGTCAGCCAGGAGCAAGACCCATGCGAATCCTATCACAATGCTTAAAGCAGGTTGAGTTCCGCGTATGTACTCCACCTCCACATTGAAATATATTTTGTGTATATTCTGTGAAGCACTTTGAGACATCTCAAAGACAGGATAAGGCGCAATATTAAATACAAGGATTAGTATTATTATTATGAAATGTTGCTATGTTTGGAGTGGAATGTGCGCTCTCTGCCTATATGGATGCTCATCCTGCTTGCCTTATTGTGGGGGGTATTAGGCTTTTGGGACCCCCGATTAGTGTTGTACTGCTCGCAATTTAACCAGCTCCTTTTTGAGTGCACCACCTGCCAACAAAATCTCTGTCCAGAGCAGAAAAAATGAGTTACAGCTTTATTCCTTATTGATATACATAGCTGAACAAGCAGCGGGAAAGCTTGCTGGTCAACAATATCAATGGCAAGCTATCCGGTTTTAGCTGGTTAGACTTGAGCAGTACCCCAACGCACACTCTCTCTTGCCAACCTGTGCCTAATACTTTCCGGGATTAGGTAAGCAGGATGCATCCCTCCAGGGAGAAAGTGCACATTCCATTCTAACAATCTATCTCTGGGATTTTCATGTGTAGGTGGGATGCATGGAAATCTCACCGTGGTTTGGATACTCCTAAGCCCTAAGCATGGTGATGGGTTTCCACATGCGACAGACACTGAGCTGATCAAAAAACAATAAAAAACTGTATATATGTATGTGTGTATATTATATATGCTGAAAGGAAACATTGACACTTCTCATTTGTATGATTGGAGTAATATTTGTGCTGATGTATCTAACTTGTTGGTGTTCATTGACATTTGAGGGGTTACCATTATTGGTCAATATCCATACTCCAGAGTTGCCAATAAACCACTGCTCATATGCGTCAGCTTGGCTCAATTGGTAGGACTTCACTTTACTTGCCTCTGCATCAGGAGGTTGTAGGTTCAAGCCCCAAGTTAGGACTTTGAGCTCACAGTCTAGGTTGATGGTCCAATGCAGCGCATTGTCAAGGATACCATCCATTGGATGAGATGATAAGCACCCAGTCTGCATGTTCAGGTGGACGTTAAAGATCCCATGACATTATTCGTAAAGAGAAGGGAGTTTCTCCCAGTGCCTTGGCCAACAATTCCCTCAGATAAAATTGATCATTCACTTAATGACCGGTTGTGGAAATTGCATGCGCGCAAATTGGCTGCCATACCAGTGCCAATGCTGCTGAACCTTTATGATCTGCCAACAAAATAAATGTTCTTGATTGAATAATTTTTTATTTATTTTGTCAACCTCCTTCATAGGCCTGAACATCTCAATGAAATTGAATTGAAGGTTGGCTCAGTGCCAGCCTCTTGGGTGGCTTTGGAACTGCTGAGAAACCAGATGGGAACAATCAATGGTTCTCTGGACAGTTTTTTCATCTCTAACCTAGCCAAGTGAGATAAGAACACGAGGGTCAATTGGGAGGCCAAGGCTCAGCCCAGAACTGTCTCATTCTACTCAGGATTAATCCCAACTTCAGCTGGACTGTATCCTAGACAAGGTCTAGTCTGGGTGATGTTTTCTCTAAATCAACTCAATGCTGTGCGTTCTGAATTCCAGTCCTATCTTGTATTGTACTTTTCTAGGCCAATCACCTTGATATCCTCAACTGGCTTCATTGGCTCCACATTCCCCAGAGGATTGAGATTAAAATCCTTGTCCTCACCTTTAAAGCCTCCATGGTCTTGCTCCTCCCCACCTCTGCCTCCTCCTAAAACCCTACCAACCTGTCTGCTCCCTCCGCTCATCAGGTACAGGCCTGCTTCACGTCCCCTGCCCTGCTCGGTCCACCTTTGGAGGTTGGGCCTTTAGTCTTTCTGCCCCCACCCTCTGGAACTCTGTCCCAGAGCCCCTCCACTTTGCCTGCTCCCTTGCCTCCTTCAAAGCCCATCTCAAAACCTTCTTCTTTGGTTGTGCCTTTGGTCATCTTCTCCCACCACCAACCTTCCTTGGCCGCCATCCCTCTTGACTCCAGGCCGAAGCTCGGATGCAAACCCTTCACTGTCCAGCACTTTAGGACACCTTTCCGACACGAAAGGCACTATATTAATGCAATTTATTCTTGTTGTTTCCGCCTGTGGCTCTCTGACAGTCATGTATAGAGCATATAAGCTTTAATTCCTGCTGGAGCTCTTCTGCTAACGTTGTAGACATGAGGTGATTTCAGGAGCAGTGGGGTACATAACTGCAACTGTATAAATTTACTTGCTGCAAATGCCTCTGGACTTCACTGGCCCAGATCCCCTCAGATCCCTCAGGCAGGCCATCTTTTTGGATGACCTGGGAACAGCTTTTCAATGTTTTTAAAGAATCGATTGTGCAACCAGCTTTTTAATAACTTTAGAGATATCAGCCCACGTGCAATGCTCAGCACACATACCAGCAGGGAGTTTGTAGAGGATTTTTTCTCGGGGAGGAAGGCATTATTGTGGTCTGATCAGAGGCACACTGAGCACCCCAGATCAGATCATTTGGCCTGCAAACTCAAAAAAATTAAATTGTACCCAATTTGAAAGCCATTTCCCACAATTTTGAGCAATCTTAAATCTTAACCTGGTTGTCTTTGTAACGCTCTTGCCTCTAACTCAGGACTTTGAGCTCACAGTCTAGGCTGACACTATTGCAGTGTATTCATTGTTCATTGTTTCCAAGATTGGTTTGGATGAAGAAGGCCCTTCAACTCATTTGATCCCGTCTCTCCAGAACATTGGCTACAGAATCAAGCTGCTTTTTAAGTGAGTCCTATTGTCTTGTTTCTCCCCCTGTCCTGACCAACAATCCTCAAGGTAAAATTGGTCATTTCATGGCTGTTTGCGGGACACTACTGTGCTCAAAATTGTCTGCTGCGTTCACCCACAAAGCACACATAGTCACTGCACTTTGAGGTGAATCCTGTGAAGCGTTTTGAGACTTCCTCCCAGTGTAAAAGTTGCTGCATCAATGCAAGAATTATTATGAAGACCAAATGTTTTTTGCAGGTTAAGGCTAGGTGAAATCTCGAGTCTCGATGGAATGCAGAAATCACTTGTATTTATCTCTGGCTCTCATTCGAATGATGTATGGTGGGAAATTTCTGGCATTGGCATTTCTGCTGCATGTCTCTGTTCTGCGAGGAGCAAAGCAGCAATACAACTCAGCATAAAAAGCAATAATGCAAACAAACCCATCTCAAACCATTTTTATTTACCACAATAATGCCTTCCTCCCTTCAAACACTCTTAATTGTCAACATTGAGCACAACTGGCTGCTGCATTTTGTCCATAAACACACAGTCAATCCACTCTACAATGTAAAGCTCTTTGAGACATCTCAATGACGTGATAAGGCGCTATATCAAATTCAAGGATTATATTGTATTATTATAGACTAGCCATTAAGATTCTCCAATAGTTAACCAGGAGATAGCAAAAGGCATTTCTTTCTTGACCCTCCCTTTCAATGTTTTTCCATGACCTTGACATTATCAGAAGTTGAGCAGTTTTTGCTTTGAAACCAAGTTGACAACCAGATAGATAGCAGCCTGTTGTGGTTCGCATGTTGCAACAGCTGAGAGTGACTTTCCGTGACTTTTGATACTACGTTGGCAGATTTGAGGCCTGAAGTTCCACCTGTTCTTAGCCCGCAAGAACCAACCCTCGATTATATCAAAATCAAGGATTGTTGGGGATTGTTGTGAGCCAATGAAGCCAGTGCAATAGAGTTCTTACCCTTAGCTACACTGGTTGTTATTCTACATTTGCAACACTTCCCACTCAAACTATCGGGTGTCAACAAAGTCCTGTTAGCCCCATGTTTTTTGGTCTCCAGTGAACTGACCAACAACTCAAACATGTGGAAGAATGATGATAATTGTACTCAGAAGTACCTAATTGTCGACCGTGCCTACGGTCACCTCTCCCCTGTTCGGCGGCATGCTCTGCACTGTCAAGCGCTCTGGGATGCTACCCTGCATGAGGGGCAGTATATAAATGTTGTTGTGCTTAACTGCATTTAGACGTCCAGAGTGTGTGTGCGCGCCATCATTTTCATGGCAGATAATGATCCGTCGCTGTGTTCAGTGTGACAACTTCTGTAACGTGGATGGTCTGAGTGACCAGGAAAATACTGGTATCAGACATTGTTACATTCGACTCATCTGCAACAGAAAATAAAAATTAATTGAAGGAAAAAAGCGGGGGGTAACAGGACTTTGGGACACCCTGTACATATGGGATTTAAGGGCTTGGCGTAAAATCCATTTCTATTTTTAACAGGCGGTTGCAAAGTGGCTGAGATTTTGGGGATCCATTATCTCCTGGGATATCTCCTGGGATCTCCATTATCTCCTGGGACATTTTCTGTGCAATGGCACAGAATGTTCTAAAGGGACTGGCATTAGCCATCCCAAAGTTTAGATATATATATATTTATAACAAATATTTAATCCCATAAAAATTGCCAGCAGTGAGGCCAAGCTGAAGGAGGCTTCAGCTGAAGGGAGGGTTTCCAAAATGCTGACACGAAAGCTTTGAAGCCAGGGAGCATCTGCAAAGTTTATAATAATACTTGCATTTGTTGTAAAGATCTCAAAGGGCTTCACAGAATATATTGTAAAGTGAATTGAGTGTATATTTTGTGGGTGAAACTCAGCAGCCAATTCCACACAGAAGTATCCTACAACCAGTCGTGGATTGAGTGATCACATTTTTTAGGGGATTATTACCCACGGAAAAGCAATCCGCCAATCAACTAACAACCCGGTTCCTACTTACTGCTAGTTAAACAGAGGTGTGTGGGGTAAGGAAACATGCCCAAAATTTTGCCCTGCCCAGGAATCAAACCCAGATCCTCTCGCTTGCGAGGCAAGTGCTCTAACCACTAAACTACATGATTCCATCCAGTTTGCCTTCCACCATCCTGGCAGTCATACGTACATGTCATGTCCCAAACTATATATTGTATCCTGAGATATTATTTCCTAACAGAAATCGTATCTAATTTGTTCTTGAACGAATCAACACTTTCTGCTTCCACCGTCTTCCTAGGGAACCTGTTCTATAGTTTACAACTCGTTCACTGAAGTTTCACAGATTTGTTCTGAATTTAACCCTATTCAATCGCAGGCCGTGCCCTCAGGTTCTACTGTTCAGTACAAGATAAAACAGCTTATCATGATCTACATTATCTAGTCCCTTTAGAATCTTAAAGACTGTAATCATATTGCCTCTCAGCCTTCTCGTCTCCAGTGTGAACATACACAGTTTACCTAATCGCTGCTCATAGTCCAGTTCCTCCATCCCCTCAACCATTTAGGTTGTCCTCCTCTCTATCCTCTTTATCGCTACAACATTCTCCCATTGTGGTGCGAGCTGTGTAATTGCTGTTTGTTGAATCGTTGCTTTGGAGCTGTTTACAGTAATGGACTGGAATGTGGAATCAAACAATGTACAATTGATCAGTACCCAAATGAAAAGTTTCTTGGAATTAACATAACTTTAAGCTGTGCTGTTTACCAAGACTGTGTAAACAGGAACCTCTGACTGAGGCTAGGTAAACACGAATGATTGGGCTCCCCATTGTGACGACTGTCTCCACATTGGTTCTGTCTTATAACGAGAGTATCTGTTTATCTGGGATCACTTCCTGCCCAGTCTGCCCTCACAAACAGTGAGATAAACAGTGCCTGTTTATTTAAGCAGCTGATACTTCACTGCATCCTAAGCTGCAAGCTGCCCATGCTGAATGTCTAGCACTCAGCTCCCAACACGGTCAACTTCTTTATCCACATCCTCGTCACTTCCAGACTTGATCCCTCCAACAGCCTCCTCATCAGTCTCCCGAGCTCATTGAAAATTCTGCCGCTTCCATCATCATATATTGTAAGCTTTACATGCCAATCCCTCCCATCCTTTCCAGACTCCACTGGCTCCCAGCAGATTGACTTCCATCAAGCCAGCCCTCTGTGTCGGGCTCGGTAGTCTGGTTCCTGAGCCAGGTGGGTCTGCAGTGTTCCAGGACACTTCTGATAACAGCACAGCCAGCCTGGCTCATCGGCAGGACCTGGAATGGCAGACCAGTCACTGGGGGCGGGGAATCCTCCCACTCAGCTCCTGTTAACCCTCCAAACCAAAGCCGTAACGGGTAGGTTGGTCTTGCTGGACAAGCAGCGGAAACGCTTATCATGCAGTGTTATCAATGGCAAGCTATGCAGTTTTAGCTGGTTAGACTCCAGCAGATACTCCCAACGCACACTCTGGGGTCCTCAAGCCTTGGCCCCAGCAAACCTGTGCCTAATACTTTCTGGAATTAGGTAAGCAGAATGTGTCCCTCCAGAGAGAGAGTGCGCATTCCATTCCAATAATCTATCTCTGAAATTTCAATGTGCAGGTGGGATGCATGGAATTCTCACTTTCGTTCGGATTCTCTTAAGCAGGGTGATGGGTTGCTACGTGTGTCAGACGCCCGGCTGAGCCCCCAAAATCCTCACACGCACCTACATATCTCTGCACTCACTCATTCCTCCCTCCCTTTGTAATCTTCTCCAGATTCTTTTCCCTGCACTCCCCCTCAGTTCCTCAACCCTCCCCTTCCCTCCCTCCCTCCCTCCCTCCCTGGACAAGACAAAACTTTCATGTCCTGTGGCCCAACCCTTGGAACTCTTCTGCTAAATCTCTTCTGCCTCACCCTCTCTCTGTTAGTCTTTAAAACCTCCTGAAAAACTACCGTTTCAACCATGCCTACTGTCATCTCTTTCCTCTACCACACTCCCTGCTCAATAACATCCTAAATGTGGGAAATTATAGACAGTAAAACTCACATAAGTCGTATCAGTCAGAACCATAACATCTAATATGACTCATGCGAAATCCAAGTTGCAGACAAACTGTACAAATCGTAGAAAATCCAAATGAATCAATAATCTATACTGCTCTTGTGCAATTTAACGCAGCCGGTAAGTGTGCAATGTGGTAATGAGTCAAGACTATTGCAGAGCTGAGCTGCCCAATCCTGTGGACTCGCTCAGTAACTGAACAGCAATATCCCTCATTGTCTCGGCTGGCTGGTCATTGTTTCTCCATTTAGAAACAGGACATGACTAAATCTCATTGTCTCCACTTGCTGGTTACTGACACTCTTGCTTGTCGAATGGGATTCAATTTACCAAAGTTTATTTGAATAATCTCCCTGGTCTGTACAGTGCAGTATCGACCTTTAAACCCTTTGCAGGGACAGAGAGACAGAAGTGTAACAACTGATGAGAGAGGAAATAATATCCAGCCTCAATGCTCAAAGTCATCTCTGCTCTCTCTATAGGACCTACAATGACTCGTGTGATGACGAACTGGTCCAAGGTCCTCCTAAAACATGCTGTACCTTAGAGGATATCCCCTTGGTCAGGTAAGACAGCCCTTTTCAAGGCTCGAGGTGCTGAACAGCCTCCTCTTGTTCCTATGAGGGAGGAGAGGGGGGGAAGAGAGCCCGTGATTCCCAATTGCCCATTGCTCATACTCAGCCCCTTCTCACATGGAGAGGCATGAGGAGAGCTGCACTGTGAAGTGCTTTGAGATGTTCTCCCAAAGATGCTATATGAATGTAAATTGTATTGGCTTGTAATTGAATTGTATTGAACAGTCACAGTGCCCTGGTTCCTTCAGAACTAAAATTCCCCTGCAGGAGCACCATCAGAATGAGAACTAGGATAAAGTTCACTGTAAACAGCTTTTCTGATGCTTATAATTTCTCTCCTCTCTCCCCGCAGCAAGTGTGGAACATTCCCTCCTGAGAGCTGCCTCTTCAGTCTGATCTGCAGTGTGGGATCCTTCATGGGTAAGTCTCGGACAGAACCACAACAAGAAAAGAGGGGTTTGTGTCAATTGGATGAACACAGGGACACTTGGAGGATTTTGCATTCGCACAACAGGGTCTTGAAAGGGAGGAGTCTTTGAGATGATCCATTCAAATTGTCAGGACTGAGGTGAATAGATATTTATTAGATAAGCGTATCAAGGGATATGGGGCAAAGTTGGGTAATTGGAGTTGAGGTACAAATCAGCCATGGCAGAAGAGGCTCAAGGGGCTGAATGGCCTACTCCTGTTCATATGTTCCTATACAGATATGAATGGAGTTAATGGAGTCAGCAATAACAATTGCAAGTTGCACTCATATAATAATAATAATAACCCTTGCATTTGATATAGCGCTTTTTCACGTCTTCGAGACCTCACCCTTTATGAGGGGTAGTGTCTCGGAGCAAATTATTCACTGTGGCAGCAGGTTCAAATACATGTTAGAAGCGAGGAGTGAGAAGTGAGGAAGGACATCAGCCAAAGGTGCGGTAGACTTGTTGAATAAACTATTGAGGCAGGCCTTGTAAAATGGAGACTCACAATTACACTCACCACCTACCTCTGCAATCTCCTGTCGGCTTCACAGTTCCTACAGGTTGCTGTGTTAAATGAGAGTTTGGTTATTTATTTGGGTGGTTTATTAATAAAAAAATATAATTTGCATTTGACATAGTGCCTTTCACGCCAGGAAAATGTCTCAAAGCTTTTCACAGGATTTCCTGTAAAGTGTAGTAACTGTGTATTTTAGTAGGCAAATGCAGCAGCCAGTTTGCACACAACAATGTCCCACAAACAGCCATGGCGTGAATGACCAATTTTATTTGGGGGATTTGTCGGTGCATGAATTTGTCCCTGGGTTAGCTGAGTCTACTTAGTGTTTGGATAGTTTATACTAATTACTATGAACCACAACTGGTGTTTTTCTTGGACAGTTTAAACCAGTTACTGTGTTACATAGGATTGTTTCTGTGTGGATGGTTTCTGCTAGTTAATGTGTTAATTTGAGACTCTGGTCTATTTTAGGAGGCAGTTTGTTCCAGTTCTTGCACTGCAGTTGCTACACTTGCCAACAGGAAATGCAAAGATTTATTTTGCTTTGTTACTTGTTTCCCTGGTTTATTTATATTTTTGTGTTTTTAGCCACTATGCCCTGAACCTCTGGAACTTCATGCCTCAATCCCTCCACCTCATTCCATCTTTGCCTGTCATTGAGCTGCCATTGTGGGATCCTCAGCTCAGGGCATGGGAACTTTGTTTGTGATGGCATGAAAATGTCATTGAGGCCCAAGGTTCACTCCTTATTGAAGCAGAGCCCAATAAACAGCCAGTTTCTTGGCCGTTGACTCTTAAGTGCTCTGAAATACTACTCTGTGTGAGGGGCGCTATATAAATGCAAGTTGTTTTTGAGAATACAAGTGTCTGTGATAAAAATAATATTCCTTGCATTTGATATAGTGCCTTTCATGTCATCGAGACATTTCATACTGTGAAGTGTTTTTTGACTGTGTATTTTGTGAGTAAAATGCGGCAGCCAGTTGCGCACAGCAGTGTCCCACAAACAGCCATGACCAATTTTTATTTGGGGGATTGTTGGCCAGGACACTGGAAAAACTCACTTCTATTTAACATCTTGTCCAAAGGATGGCACTTCCGACAACGTAACACCCCCCTAACACTGCACTGGAGTGTCATCTTAGACAATGTGATTCCAAGTTCCGACGTGCAGCTTGAACTTACAACCTTCTGACTCAGAGGCGAGAGTGCTACTGACTGAGCCAGGCTGACAGACTTGTGATGGTCACTGGGGCAGGGATTCTTCTCTCTTGGCTCCTGTTACCCACGCAAACCAAAGCCCTAATGCATAGGGTGATCCTAGTTGGATAAGTAGTAGAAAGCTGGCCAGACAGAGCTATCGGTGGCAAACTGCAGAGTTTTAGCTGGTTAACTCCAGCAGTTAACCCATCCCCCAAAATTCAAGGAAAATCTCTCGCCAACCTGCACCTAATACTCTCCGGAATTAGGTGAGCAGGGTGCGTCCTCTGGGGAGAGACACGGGGAAAGTTTCACACGTGCATGTGACTACCAGTAGTTTGGTTCAAAGCACAGTGATGGGTTTCCGCTTGTGTCAGATATCTGGCCGACTAGAAGGGGAAGAAAAGACAGTCAGTTATATTTGCAATAATAATAATAATCCTTGCATTTGATATAGCGCCTTATCACGTCGTTGAGACGTCTCAAAGAGCTTCAAATAATATACTGTAAAGTGAATTGACTGTATATTTTGTGGCAAAACGTGACAGGCAATTGCGCACGGCAGTCGTGGTTTGAGTGACCAATTATTTTTAAGGGATCATTACCCTTGGAAAATCAACTCGATTATTACCCTTTGAAAACCAGTTTACTACTTACTGCTAAGTAAAGAGAGGCGTTTGGAGTAAGAAAACTTGCCTAAGGTTTCTCCCTGCCTGGAAATCGAACCCGGGTCCTCTCGCTTGCAAGGCGAGCACTCTAACCACTGAGCTACAGGACTCTATTCGGAGATTCACTCAGTAAAGTGTTAACGACGATCCTGTTTGTGTACTCGTGTTCCACATGTATGCGGCAGCCAGGTAAAAAATGCTCATTAAAAAGTCTTTTGAGACGAGCTGCACAGTCAGCAGGCTGTGTGCCTGCGGAAACATGCCCTTGTCTGCTGGCAGTGGCGAGACTTGCTGGAATAGAAGCTGGAATGTGGTGTGGCTGCCAGCGGGAGGGGGGAGCTGGGAGGAGCGCTGTGGGGGGGGGCTACAGCTGCTTAAAAGAATCCCAGTGTTCTAGCGTTTCTGCAGGAGTCAAGCTCCCGTGTATATGGCAACCGGTTCAATTCACGGCATTGATTGCTCTACCTGTATCACTGGTCCCTTTTTGTTCTCTGAATGCTATGACTTTCAATGCCCATCCCCTCCCACTGCATTACACCTTCCTGGCACATAGAATTCTAGAAGCTAGAAGAAACAATTATTAAGTCTGCAGCTGCTGCTTTCTCCAACTGAACCATCTCTGCCACGCTCCCATTGAAGTTCCTCTTTGTCAACAACAACAAATTACATTTGTATAGTGCTTTTCACATCGGGAGGACGTCCCAAGTCAAGCAAATATCTAATTCCCTTTTACAAAATCTCATGGGCTCTTGCTCCAACATGAGAAAAGACCACAGCCTGGCTTAGTTAGTAGTACTTACAGAATATTGTAGGTTGGATCTCAGTCAAAAAATTGTAGGTGGGCCTGTGGTCTAGGCTGATAATCCAGTGCATTGCTAAGGGGTGAGGTGCATTGTTTGAGGTGCCGTACTTTGGATGAGATGTTAAACTGAGTCCTGTCTGCCTTTCAAGTGGAGAGTAAAGATCCCATGACGCTATTCTATATCATCTATATAAATGACCTGGACTTGGGAAACAGTGAGGAGGTTAATAACAGACTGCAAGAGGACATAGACAGACTGGTAAAATGGGCAGACAAGTGGCAGATGAAGTTTAATGTGGAGAAATGCGAAGTGATGTATTTTGGGAGGAAGAATGAGGAGGGGCAATATAAACTAGATGTTAGAATTTTAAAGGGGGTGAAGGAACAGAGAGACCTGGGGGTTCATAGAAGTAAATCTTTGAAGGTTGCAGGACATGTAAATAAAGCTGTTAAAAAAAATGCATACAGGATACTAGGCTTTATAAATAGGGGCATAGAATACAAAAGTGAGGAAGTTATGATGAACCTTTATAAAACACTAGTTAGGCCTCAGCTAGAGACTGTGTTCAGTTCTGGGCACCACACTTTAGGAAGGATGACAAGGCATTGGACAGGGTGCAATGGAGATTTACCAGGATGGTACCAGGAATGAGGGACTTCAGTTACCAGGAGAGGCGAGAGAATCTAGGATTATGCTCCTTGGAATAGAGAAGGTTAAGAGGAAACTTAATAGAAGTTTTCAAAATTATGAGGGGATTCGATAGGGTGAAAAACGAGAAACTTTTTCATTGGCAGGTGGGTCAAAAAGGGCACCAATTTAAAATAGTTGTTGAAAGAAACAGAGGCAAGGTGAGGAGAAATGTTTTCACAGAGCGAGTTGTTCAGATCTGCAATGCATTGCCTGAAAGGGGTTGGTTGTAAGCCGATTTGATAACAACTTTTAGGAGAGAAGTGGATAATTATTTGGGGAGGAGAAGTTTGTAGGGCTATGCGGAGAAAGCGGGGGAGTGGGATTGAATTGGATAACTCTTTTCAAAGAGCCGGCAATGACCCGATAGACCGAATGGCCTCCTTCTGTGCTGTATAATTCTATGATTCTATGATCCTATTTATAAAGAGAAGGGAGTTTCTCTCGGTGTCCTTGCCAACAATCCCCTCCCCCCCCACAACCAGTTAAATCTGTCATTCAACATTCACTTCATGACTGTTTGTGAGACATTACTGTGTGAAAATTAGCTGCCGCATTCATCTACAAAAAGCACAGTCACAACCCTTTCAGTAATATCCTTTGATATGTCCTCCCAACGCGTAAGGTGCTTTATCAGATATGATGATCATTAATATTATTTATCATAATGGGCACCTCTGACACACGTTCAACAAAAGACATTTTTGAGTAAGTTTATCTTTCAGATTTGTCGCTTCCCTTTTTATAAAGTTTCCTGCAACCAGAATTATATTCCCAGAAATCGTTGGTAATTCCATTTACTCTTGTCAGCTGTTACTATATGTGTGCGTGCGAGGGGTCGCAGGGGGGAGGAGAGGGATGCTTAAATAACTCCACACGCAATCATTTTTTCCATTGGTTTTAAACATGCCTGATACCCACATGAAGTGGATATGACAGAGTTTCACAGACTAAACAGATATACTCATACTATTGAGAAAAAAAACAATGATTTTTACTAACCCCGGCCATGTTGGCAGATATAGAACTAGAATCCTCTAATGCAAAATAATAATAATATTTACATTTGTTACATTATTCAGTACTCTGCAGCTCCTGTCCTCTCCCGACCTAAGCTCTCTGAGCCGATCACCCCCATCCTTGCCCAGCTTCACTGGCCCCCCCATTCCCCCATATGATCGAGTTTAAAATCCTTGTCCTCACCTTTAAAGCCCTCCGCAGGCTTGCTCCTCCCTACCTCTGTGATCTTCTAAAACCCTACCAACTTGTCCGCTCCCTCTGCTCAGTGGGTACTGGCCTTCTCCAGTCCTGCCCACTCCACCATTTCTTTGTCCTCCACCCCGCAGCTCTGCTGGAAACCCTCGACTGTCCAGCGCCTTTGGATGTCCACCCAACGCGAAAGTCGCTATATAATTGCAATTTGTTGTTTTGTTGTTATCGCGCCTTTCACATCAGGAGGACATCTTAAAGCGCTTCACAGGATATACTGCAAAGTGGGGTGACCGTGTATTTTGCAGGGTGTCCTGTCCTGTAATGAAACCAGGGCATTGATAGGTCTTCTAACAGATGGGGGTGAGAATGACAGCCGCTCCCCACTATTAAACCACAAACAGTGTTCCCTAAAGCTGGGTTGTAACAAGAGTTGAGAATGAAGCTCATTGTGTTTGATACAGCGTGTTTTGCCAAAGGAAAACTTAATCCAAACAGGGATCGTATATTTTCAGCATTAACTTTGAAGTGGCCCCAGAGCATTTAATATTTCAAATGACCTTCCACATGTTTCCAGGATTTCAAGTCTGTTTGTTTATAACTCCTTCGGTTCCCAACCAGTTAACTTGAGAGAGAGAGAATTGACAGAGGTCTTTTTGTTCAGGCTCCAGAGATATTCATGAAGTACGAAGGGTTAGAATTTTGGGAAAAACATACTGCGTGTGTTTTCTTTAGCAAGGAAAATGTTTCCAAATGCTCTGGCACACAGCTCACGAGACTGCATTGTGGTACGAGTGATACTGACTTCAATAGGAGCACGCAATGCTCTCCAGATTGTTTGTGTGTGTGTATGTGTGTGCTTAAATGCACTCCTTCTTGCTGATGCCGATCTCCATTTATTTTTCCGTCTCTTCAACTAGGCTTTGGCGATAATACAGTGAGGACCTTGTTTCGATAGGGCTCTCTTGCTCCAAACCCAACCAACCCTACATCGGGCCCTTTTTCCAGTCAAAAATAAATATCAACTCATACCTTAAGATGTTCATGAGAATTGATAAGGCTCAGTTGGACTTAAAGGTGACACATCATTTAGGCCTCTCCATGGATGGTGATGAATCAGACTATCTTGGCCCTGTTCCTATATCACTTTGTTTTACTGATTCATTTGCCGATTGAACTCCAGCTGTATCTCCAGCGCACACTCTGGGCTCCCCAAGTTTTGTTGACCTGTCCTGAATATTTCCAAAATTAGGTGAGCATAGTGTCTCCCTCCAGGGAGAGAGAGCATATTCCATTCCAGACGCAACCAAATTTCCTTGTGTACATATGTGGAACTATCAGTCTGATAGTTGGATACTCTTAACCATGTGTTCAACGAAACAAAGAAATCTGCAGTGCAGAGGAGGCCATTCACTCCATCAAGCCTGCAGAGCAAGGATATTTCTTCAATACCACCGCCCCAACTTATCCCATACCTCGTCAAGCCCCTCTCATTCATATGCTTGTCTACTTGCCTCTTGAAAGCTGCAACAGATTCTGCCACAACCAATTTGAGGTATATAACTACATCACTATGTGTGTCCGCATGCACACACACGTGCACAGACCTACCTGCTCTAGGTGTTTTCCTTGTAAATCTCTTATTTCTGTGCTCCATGTGTGCCGTATTTGCCAGATACTTTAAGATGTTCCTTTGGCTCCAAGTGGAAAACTGCATTGCCTTGGTTGCCGGATGTATTTCAAGTCTCAGTAAAGGGTCATGGTTGCACTTGCTAAGGTTATTTCTAATAATAATAAATAATAATAATCCTTGCATTTGATATAGCGCTTTTCACGTCTTCTCGATGTCTCGAAGCGCTTCACAGAATATTCTGTAAAGTGAATAGACCGTATATCTTTGGGCGAAACGCGGCAGCCAATTGCTCACAGCAGTGTCCCACAAACAGTCGTGGATTGAAAATGACCAATTTATTATTGTTTTTTGTTTTGGAGGGATTATTTTTAGGCATGTGGAGTAAGGAAACTTGCCCAAGGTTTCGCCCTGCCTGGAATTGAACCCAGGTGTCTTGCTTGCAAGATGACTGCTCTAACCACTGAGCTACAGGACTCCAATTTCTAAGGGATCCTGAGGAGTTTGGTTGGGTTGAGGAGTGATGCACTGTAACCTTCTCTTGCAGTCATGTTGGTGGGCCTGCTACGCTATGCCCAGGTGAAGGAGAGGCACCACAGGTCCTTACTGAACACGGCAGCACTAGTTACTGGCTGGATCTGTGCAGCGGGCCTCATGGTAGTGGGAAACTTCCAGGTGAGTGACAGTGCAGAGCCACATCTGAGTTGCACAAAAAAAGGGGCCCCAATTCATAATAATAATCCTTGGATTTGATATAACACCTTATCACGTTGTTGAGACTTCTCAAAGTGCTTCACAGAAATTATTGTAAAGTGAATTGACTGTGTATTTTGTGGGCGAAATGTGCGCAGCAATGTCCCATTTTTTGGGGGGGAGGGTTGTTACACCCGGAAAGTGATCTGCCAATCAACAAATAATAATATGGAGTCCTGTAGTTCAGTGGTTAGAGCACTCGAGAGACCTGAGCTCAATTTCAGGCAGGGCGAAACCTTGGGCACGTTTTCTTACTTCACACGCCTAGTAATGGTCCCTCCAAAACCGAAAACAATGGTGGATTGGTCATTTTCAATCTACGACTGTTTGTGGGACATTGCTGTGCGCAATTGGCTACCGCGTTCGCCCACAGATATATAGTCAATTCACTTTGGAGTATGTTCTGTGAAGCGCTTTGGGACGTCCTCCCGACGTGAAAAGCGCTGTATCAAATGCAAGGATTATTATTATTATTATTGTCTAAGGTTTCGCCCGCCCGGGGATCAAACTTGGATCCTCACGCTTGTGAAGCGATCATGCTAACCAATACACTACTGCACTCCAATTGTAACATGGTCTCCCGGAAGTCCTTGAGAACAAAATGGCCACCGGTTCCATTTCCAAGTCATAAGGTCATCATGACATCACTCACCACAGTAAAATCTGCTCTCGTGCTCTAGGTTTGGGATATTATGAATACCAACAACCATGTTGTGACAACGCTCCACTGTAAGTCTCCTGTACCAAATAGCTGCAAGCAAAGTTTTCAAGTAGGTGAAAGTCTGAAATTGCTCCCTGGCCCCAAAGTTAGTCAAGCACATCTCCAGGCTATCAAAGCAAACATTACAGCCCAACATTAGTCACGCGTCATTGGTTGCATTGCAAAGATCGCATTCCTGCGTTCCCATTCAGACTGCAGCCGTGGTGTCCATCTGCACCCTGGTCCTCTTGTCCTGGGATCCATCTTACACTCATTGCTAACGTTAGCCAGTTCTTTGCTCTGCTCTCAGGAATCCCAAAATAAAGGTAAAGTGATAAAAAGATTGACTCCCAACATGCTCTATACAAATGCAATTGTTTGTTGTTGTTGTTGAAGAGTGCCTAGGCTTACATTGACATAGCATCATGGATTCCACACTCCCTTTCCTGCAGGGTAAATGTCCTGTATAAATATTCCATGAACCCAAACATTCATTGGTCTTAAACTCTAGCACATTCACCCATCCTGACATCTGTATTGTTCAGCACTGGTTCACATCCCTCCTTGGGCAGGCATCCAAGCCCCCACTCTTCTGCATGCAAGTCACAGTGCGCTCACTGAGCTGTGTTGATCTCCAGATGTTTACCCCTGATTGGCAACATCTGGAATTCATGACACAATCGTAAATGGATATCTGGCATCATTGTGGGGTGGTTGGTAAGCAAGCCATATTTGGGAAAATTTGATAACGTGTTAAACCATGGGATAAAAATTCCATTCAGCTTCAACAGCTATAATAATAGTAACCCTTGCATTTGATATAGCGCCTTGTTGAATTGTCTCAAAGCGCTTCACAGACTATATTGTAAAATGAATTGACCTTTCTTTTGAAGGTGAAAAGAACCATGACCTTTGGTGAAGTTGGTTCACAAATGAGATTAATAATAATATTAATAATTATTATTGCATTTAATATAGTGCTTTTCGTTTCAGAAGGATACCCTCGAGAAGAGTGTTATATAAAAATAATTGCAAATCGCTGTTGTTGTTGGATGTCTGACACTACTTCACAGGACATCACTATAAAAGTGGATGTACTTTATAAGCGAATGCAACAACCAATTTGTGCACAGCAATGTCCCACACTCTACTGTTAAGTGAATGACCAATTTGGGCCAGGGCACTGGGAGAAACTCCCATCTCTTTTCCAATCGTGCCATGAGATTTTAATAACTAACCGTGCCTTCAGCTCCCCTCTCGACTCTCTTCCTCCTCCTCGCTCCCTCCCTTCCCTCCCCTCACCCTGACCATTTCCCCCCTCCTCTCTCCCTCCCTTCCCTCCCCTCACCCTGACCATTTCCCCCCTGCTCGGGTCATGACCCAACTGTGCAGCGCCTTGGGACGTCCTCCTGACGTGAAAGGCGCTCTATAAATGGAATCTTGTTGTTGTTGTTGTTGTTGAACAGGCAGACAAAGTTTAACTTCTCATTGATACCTCCAACAGTGCAGCACATCCCCGGCACTGCATCGGAGTGTCAGACTAGACTGTGTGAGTTCAAAGTCCTCGACGTGGGGCTTGAACCCACAACCTTCTGACTCAGAGGCGAGAGTGTGACCAACTGAGCTAGGCTGACATGAGATGTCACCATTGCTTTAGTGTATGGCCAAAGATGCCAAATGGAATTTTACCCTCCTTTGAATTGACAGCCAAAAAGCCTCACTGACCATGTAGAAAAGATAAAAGAAACATGGTTTTTGGCATAAGCAAATTGAATGAATACCTCTGGTTTGATATCTGCATTCCATCATTTAGCTTTAATAGAGATGGATCCCTTGGGGGAATTATATCCAGCAAACAGAACAGCTGTGGATATATTACATGAAACAAATATAGAGAGCTGTTTGTTTTTGTGATTCCAAAGCTCCCACAGAGACCCTTTACTTTGAGTCTTGACTTTTACCCCTTCATGTACCTTCAATGATGTATACGATGAGAGAGCCCCCACACCCCAATCCCATCTCATTCCATCTCACGGCAACAACTCCAAAAACAAGGCAACATAGTCTTAAAATTAGAGCTGGGGTGGTTAGCTATTGAAGGGATTACTACCCCTGGAAAGCAATTCGCAAATCAACTAACAACCAGGTTCCTACTTACAACTAGGTAAACAGAGGGGTGTGGAGTAAGGAAGGTTTTGCCCCGTCTGGGAATCGAACTTGGATCCTTTTGCTTGTGATGCAAACGCGCTAACCACAATGCTACGGGACTCCACAAAAGGAGGTTAGAAGTTAGATAGGAGTTTGGAAGCAAGGGTTTTAAAGAGTAGAGGAAAGAAAAAGAAATGAGATTAGAAGTTCTGCCATGATCTAATAAACTAGTGGAACAAGCTCAATCGACTGATTGCTCTCCTCCTGTTCCTAACTTGCACTTCTGAAGCGTCTTTCATGTTGGATGAATGCCTCAAAGTGCTTTATAACCCACACCCATCCCCTCTCCCACCACTCCTACAATAAACAAAACTGAGAAAGAAGTACTTTCTAAAAACTCACAAAACGTAGATTGTTCAGGCAGAATAGCACAAACAATAAATAAGGATTGATGTGACTTTAATTACAGCGTGACCTTTAAACACAGTCTCTGTATATTGTAATTACGTAAGCATTTGCTCAGTTGCCTGTTCACCGCAGCCTTACATGTGCTCCCCTCCATGTACTTCAGTCTCTCAGACTCTAGTGGCTAACTTTCATGTCATAAGGTCAGTGTGAATGTCTCAGAAATCTTTAGACGATAACCTTAGGACTTGAAAGTTAGCAATCTTGTAGTAAATAAATTGAAAAAAAAATGAAGGTTGTTATTGCCCATTGAAAATTAAATAATACAAATAATGGGAAAAACTGCCAGGCTTAATTATAAGAAACAGAAACTGTTTACCTAGCAGGAAGTAAGAACCTGGTTGTTAGTCGATTCGCAAATCTCTTTCTGGGGGTAATAAACCCTTCCTAAAAATACATAAAATAATAATAATTTGGTCGCTCAATCCACGACTGTTTGCGGGACACTACTGTGTGCAATTGCTTCCTCGGGCTCACAAAATAATAATAATAATCCTTGCATTTGACATAGCGCTTTTCACGTGTTCGAGACGTCTCAAAGCGCTTCACAGGATATACTGTAAAGTGCATTGACTATATTTTGTGGGGAAAACGCGGCAGCCAATTGCGCACAGCAGTGTCCCACAAACAGTCGTTGATTGAGTGACTAAATTATTGTATTTTTTCTTGAAGGATTATTATCAGGCATGTGGAGTAAGGAAACTTGCCCAAGGTTTCACCCTGCCGGGAATCGAACCCAGGTCTCTCGCTTGCGAGGCGAGTGTTCTAATTACTGAGCTACAGAACTCCATTGTACAGTCAATTCACTTTACAGCATATGCTGTGAAGCACTTTGAGACGTCTCAATGATAAGGCTCTATATCAAATGCTTGATATTATGATGAAGGATTGGTAGGGAAGGTATTCTGGAGAGATGAGATCAAATGCTATGAGCAACAATTCGACAAGCTCGGGCTCTTCAGTCTTGAAAGACGACGACTCAGGGGACCTCACTGAAGTGCATAAAATTTTAAATGGGATTGAAAAAGTAAACGCAGATCAACAACAACAACAAATTACACTTGTATAGGACCTTTCACGTCGGGAGGACCTCCCAAGGCGCTGGACAGTCAAGGATTTGCACCCAAGCTGGGGATTGGGATCAGGAAGGGTGGTGAATACTTCAGGGTGCAACAAGAGGCTATAGGTTTACAGTTGTAATGGGCAATTTCGAGACAGACACCAGAAAGTTTTTCTTTACTCAGAGGTAACTACTGGCCTGAAGAGGATAGTAGAGGCTAAGACACTGGGATTCATATAAAAAGCTTCTTGATGCTATGATGGAGGATGGTAAAGTGATTATTCTGGAGGCATGAGGTCAGATGGGCCGAAGGACCTATTTCATCCAGACTACTTGTGAAATGGGCCAAATGAACTTCATCCAAACCTCTCTTTTGTGAAGCTCAAAGTCTGACATAGTCTTAAAATTGGCACAGGATTGTGGAAAATTTTGCAACCCAGTCTTAATTTGGGATCCAATTTCCTTTGAAGAACTGCAGACAGTTGTTTTGTTGCAGATTAAGATGAAATTTAAGAACTTTCTCCAAACTTTCTCGATGTTAAATTTCAAGACGAGACTCGCAGATTGAGGCTAGGCGACATTTTGGACCTGGGGTGTGCCTGGGTGTGGATGGTCTTGTGAAGATAATAAGGGAGCCCTAATCCTGAGGTTAAAGGAATTGAGCCAACAAACTTCTAACTTGGAGTTATGAGTGCCAACAAGTGAGCCAGGCTGACACCTACATAAGAGGCAAAAGGATGGGTCAAGGGGAATGGATTGTGAAGCAACAACTATTTGCTCATGCACAGTTTACCAAGCTCGTATACTCCCCTCCACGTTGGCCTTGAGAGAACCTTGTGCTCTTTCAAAAAAATTGGTCACTCACTCCGTGGCTGTTGTGGGACACTGCTGTGCGCAACTGGCTGCCGCGTTTCGCCCACAAAAACACACAAACCATACTTTACAGTATATCCCGTGAAGGCTTTGAGACGTCTCAATGACATGATAAGACGCTGTATCAAATAAAAGGATTATTATTATTAATATAAAAGAAGGCACCAATTGCGAGACACTCTCCTTAAAAGGAGCACTGCCTTCATGGAAAAGTGTTGGGAAACTATTCTTTTGTGTGTGTGGGGAGGGAGGTCTGGTGTGGAGGAAGGGGAGGGGAGAAGAAGACTCAACATCCATTTTAATCACAAGATATCGAATACAAGTGATGCCTCATGTGCTTCCATGTGATTTCACTCAAAGTGCCATGAAATTAGCTAAATATATTATCTGACCTTGCGTTTATCACACGATAGGGCTCCCTCTGCTGTTCAAGACTGTTAGCAGTACTCCTTCAAAGATGTTTGATGTGCATCTCATAAGAAAGTGTGGGACTCCCAAGTTCCAGGTGCTGACACTGCTTGGCTGTGCTATATCCCGTCAGTCCCTTACTGTTCCCTCTCTCCCTTTGACTTGGTTCACAATTTGCTTCCTGCCACCGCCAGAGCCCCACAGTGGAGGACACTGGAGCACTACTAATGTCCTGCATAGTGGAGCTCTGATGGTGGCAGTATAGATCCCAATGGACTTATGCCTATAAGAACATAGGAACAGGAAGAGGCCATTCAGCCCCTCGAGCTGTTCTGTACCTCAACCATATTTATCCGCCTTTGCTCCATAACCCTTGATACCCTTACCTAACAAAAATCTATCCACCTCAGTTAATTTAAATTGATCCAGCATCCACAGCCTTTTGGGAGAGAGATTTCCTGAATTCTTTTGGACACAAACATACATTTATGCGGCTTCCGACTGCCATGGTAAAACCCAGTTGTGGAAAGATTGGGAATGCGGCTGAGCAGAAGAAGCATCACCTCTCTCACAATTGTGTTCTCTCTCTTTCTCTCTATCTCTCTCTGCAGGTGGACAACGCTAAGATCCTTCACTACGTTGGGGCAGGAGTGGGATTTCCCAGCAGTTTGTTCTTCATCTGTTTCCAGACTGTACTGACTTACAGATTAGCGAAAACCTCGCTGGACTACCAAATAGGCCGGTGCAGGGCATCTCTCACCATTTCAGCTTTCATCACCCTCGTCCTCAGTATCCTTTCCTCAGTTAAAGCCCTATTGAAAGTTGCCTTTGTTTACCTAAAGTATGAGCTCATCTGTTGGTCCATGTAACTTTGTAAATGATACAAGGGAATCCCACTGTAGCTCTCTTCAATGCCTTGCTTATAGTGTATTGGTCTACTGTTGTAGAGGGAGTTTCTATCACTCACTAGTTTGGTTTCAGCACTAAAAAATGACCGATTTCCGGTTTGTCTCTCCCTGCTCTTTACAAATTCTCACACTCACCTTCAAATCCCTTCATGCCCTGGTACCTCCCTACCGCTGGCTCCAGCCTCCTGCTTGTCCCTTGTACCCTCCGTTCCACCATCAGTGGCCGAACTTTCAGCCACTGTGCACCGAAACTCTGGAATCTTCTTTGTCTATCCATCCGCCTTGTCCATCGTTCTCTGTCTTCAGGTCATGCCTGAAGACCTTCCTCGTCAAACGTGCCTAAGGGTCATCTCCCCTCGGCTCGGAGACATGCTCTGCCATTGTCAAGCACTCTGGGACGCTACCCTGTGAGGGATACTACACTATATAAATGCAAGTTGTTGTGTTTTGAACATGCGATGTAGACCCCTTAACCCGCTTACCAGGTGGAGTGTTCTTCGTTCAAGAGAGCGCTCGGCTCCAGCACGCGGCTGCTATCTGCGAGTGGGTATTCACCATCGTCATCCTGGTTTTCTACGGCACCTTTGCCGTGGAGTTCGGCTCCATCACTGAAAGCACATTCCTGGAGATGCTCAAGCCACAGACCAAGAGGACCTGCAAAGGAGACAGCAGCCGCGTCAACCCCAATCAAGAGGCCGTCGTGATGATCTAGCTCTCGAGATCTCCTGAGTCCAGTTTGAACTGTTGCAGCCTCATGTAACGCAGCCTTAACATATTCAACGATCCAAATAACTGGGGTATTGGCTCCTCATTGGCACCAAAACCCAACAATTCAATACCTCGGGAGGGTGGGATGGGGCGGATGGGATAGGACTGATTGCGGATGAGGGAGAAAGGGTTATACAGAATTGAAGCAAACTGTCAGAAAGAAAGCCATTCCATTATTTTTCCCCTTTGTACATTTTTGTTTGTATGTGTGAAATGTTCACTTTATACAGGATGCCTTTTTTATACATACATATATATATATATACATACAAAGCTCTCTCTGATTTTTGCGGTAGGAAAAATGAGTACGTTTTCATGAGAGAGTATGATGGACCCTTTTCGTAATGGGTCGAATGGTCTCCTGTGCCATAAATTTCTATGATTGTACGGAAAGTGTGTGTGTTTGTGTGTGTGGAATGGGAGAGGGACGTATGGTAAACTCCTGACAACTTGTCACTCCAAGGAAAAAGGGCTCAGTGACGAGTTATCAGTAGTGGCGAGTTAGGCATATGTATAAGTACTCGTATGTACATAAATACAGGCGGGATATTGACAGCATGATGACTTAAGTGGCAGTGACAAGTGAAGCCAAAAGTTCAATTATCAGGAGTTTACTGTATATTCCTTGACATTACTGATATCCTCCACAAAACCGAGATATAAGGGTGGGACACGGTGTGTCAGCCACGAAGGGAAAGCAGTTGGCTTGTTATAGTGTTTTATTTCCACGTCACTGTGAATTGAGAAATGTTGTCTCGGCCTATGCTTTCCTGCGGCCTTTTATGTTCCCCCCACGTTCTGCCTTTGTTCTTCTAACAATCTCTCAACTTCCATCCTTTCAGGCAATTTCCAGTCCGTGTCCTTGTCTGCTCCTTGATACCTATAGTGACGTCAGTTTGTGAAGGAATCTCACGATGTTTTGCTAAAGGCCTTTCGGAAGTCCAGTTGACTATGTCATGTAGCTTCCCATAGTCGTTTTGGGATGTCACCTCCTCAAAAAACGACTGAGATTGGTCAGACACCCTCTACTCCTTCTGTACCTGTGCTGACTGTCATTTATTAGGTTATTTTTCTGCAGCTAATATTCCACTTGTTTTCTGACGATTGATTCCATCACTTTTCCAAATATTGCGGGCAGATTAATCGGTGCCCAAAGTTCGATAAGCTTCCCACTGTGTTGTAGACTAATCCAACAGAATCAGTTGCTATTAACATTTCTGTTATCGTAGCATGAGAATACCAGAATGGTAGAAGGTAAACTAGATGGATCTTGGTCTTATTTCATCTTGAATTCCTATGTATCCATCTTGGTGCTGTCTGAAAGTTACATTCCAAAAAAATGCGAATGTCTTTTGATAGCAAAGGAGAGCTAGGAATGGAAGGGGCAAAAAGGTAGCGAGAAGCTTCAGTATTTCTGCAGATATAAAATCCAGCAGACAAATGATTTTGATGTTGGACACAAAAGCTTATGGGAAGTGATGTGACATACTGGCAAATAAAAGCGAGCATTAGCACTGATCTACAGAAAGAAAAGAGCCATTTGTCAGGAGTTGAAATGTAAATCATGGCCAAAAAATGTGAAACAGTTCAGGCAGATCATCCTCATTCTCACCAAGGTCCACCTGCTCCCTATCTCTCAATCAACTTTCAGATCTTAGTCTGCACTTTCAAATCCATCTCTTGTGGCTCTCGCTCAATCAACTCTCCTGCCTTATAATAATAATAATAATCCTTGCATTTGATATTGCGCCTATTACGTCGTTGAGATGTTTCAAAACGCTTCACAAATGGCTACGTGGATTGATTTTGTATTTAATGGGCAAAAGTGGGCAGCCAATTGCGCACAAAGACTCGTGGATTGAATGATCACATTTTTTTTTGGAAGGATTATTACCGCCAGAAAGCGTTCCATCAATCAGCTAACAACCGGGTTCCTACTTACTGCTAGGATAAACAGAGGCGTGTGGAGTAAGGAAACTTGCCTAAGGTTTTGCTCTGCCCGGAAATCGAACCCGGGTCCTCTTAATTTCGAGGTGAGTGCTCTAACCATGACTCTGCTGGATCACATCATGTCCCCCGTTCTCTCTCTCCAGCCCCCCAACCCCCGCCTCTTTCCCTGCTTTCAAAACTTGTCTAAAAATCTGCCTCTCAAACTGCACCTTATGGCACCAACCCATAATAATAATCATTGTGTTTGATATAGCGCCTCATCACTTCGTTGAGACGTCTCAAAGCACTTCACAGAATATACTGGGAAGTGAATTGATGGTGCATTGTGTGGGCGAAACACGGCAGCCGATTGCGCACAGCAGCGTCCCACAAACAGTCGTGGATTGAACATCCATTTGAAGAACAGTCAGTTTAAAGTTGCATTCGAAGAACAGTACCTCTGACAAGTCTGAATAACTGATGTCTCACTGCTAAGTCAGACAGACTGGTCAACCATCAACCAACAAAAGCATTGACTTTGATGCTCAACCAACTCTGTAATACCCTTATATAGCCACAGAGTAGCACTGCACACCTGCTCTTGGCTACGAGCTCCTGGTCATTTGCAGGTATTGCAAAATATTGCTTTCTCAGCAATAAGTAAAAGAAGACCATCTAAATTCTATCTAAATTTCCCCAGTTTATCTGATGATGCCAGATCTTTCAATCAAATTTCCCTGCTTTTTCCCCATAGCTTTCTTACCACCCAAGTAGCCATCTATCTCCAACATCATGGAATTGGTTTTGAGTCTGCCGGGTGGACATCTCACACATGCAGAAACCCTTCACCAGAGAGAACCTAAGTCTTTGCTTTGCGATAAGACTGAATGGACAGCTCACTTATTTGACTTGCCTACAAATGGCACACAGTACCGGTACATGTTAATTCCCAGATCATCATCCCTCTTTTGATTCAATCATTAATTTAAGTACCAGGAGTGCGTGGAGTCCTATAGCATAGTGGTTCACGCTCTTGCCTCGCAAGTGAGAGGACTCGGGTTCGATTCCTGGTCGGGGTGAAATTTTAGGCAAGTTTCCTTACTCCACACACCTCTGTTTACCCAGCAGTAAGTAGGAACCCGGTTGTTAGTTGATAGGTGGATCGTTTTTCGGGGTAATAATCCCTTCAAAAAAATAATAATTTGGTCACTCAATCCATGGCTGTTTGTGGGACATTGCTGTGTGCAATTGGCAAAATACACCAGTCAATCCACTTTACAGTATATTCTGTGAAGTGCTTTGAGATGTCTTGAAGACGTGATAAGGTGCTACATTAAATGCAAGTATTATTAAAGCGCTTTTCAAATGTAATTTGTGGTCATGTTTGTCTCTATATCCCCATATGTGTCTATATAACTATATGTGTGTGTCTATATCCCTGTGTGTCTCTATGCCCTGTGTTTGTCTCTATAACCTTATGTGTGTGTGTGTGTCTATATCCCTGTGTGTGTTTAATATCCATTTGTGTGTGTGTCTATATCCCTGTGCATGTTTCTATTTTCTTGCATGTCTCTTTCTATATCTCTGTATGCCTCCATATCCCTGCTTGTGCTTGTATCCGTGTGTGTGTGTGTGTGTGTGTGTGTGTGTATATATCTGTGTGGGTGTCTAAATCCCTGTGTGTGTGTGTATATCTGTGTGGGTGTCTATATGCTTGTGTGTGTGTGTGTACCTGTGTGTATATCCCCGTGTGTGTGTATATCCCTGTGTGTATATCCCTGTGTGTGTGTGTATATCCCTGTGTGTGTATATGTGTGTGTGTATCTGTGTGTGTGTGTGTATCTGTGTGTGTGTGTACCTGTGTGTCTGTGTGTATCTGTGTGTGTACGTGTGTGTGTGTGTACCTGTGTGTGTGTACCTGTGTGTGTGTACCTGTGTGTGGGTGTACCTGTGTGTGTGTGTACCTGTGTATGTGTGTACCTGTGTGTGTGTGTACCTGTGTGTGTGTGTGTACCTGTGTGTGTGTGTGTGTACCTGTGTGTGTGTGTGTACTGTGTGTGTGTGTGCTGTGTGTGTGTGTACCTGTGTGTGTACCTGTGTGTGTGTGTGTGTACCTGTGTGTGTGTGTGTGTATGTACCTGTGTGTGTGTGTACCTGTGTGTGTGTGTGTGTACCTGTGTGTGTACCTCTGTGTGTGTGTGTACCTGTGTGTGTGTGTGTGTACCTGTGTGTGTGTGTGTGTATATCAGTGTGTGCGCGTCTGTCGCTCTCCACGGGACACCAGGACGTGAACACCAGCAGTGGGGCGGACAGCCTCCGCCCCGGGGGGGGGGGGGGGGGGGGGACCGTAAACAATACAGTTCCGAATATTGGTTTAAGATTGAAAACCCTTCTGCTGCTGCATCCACACCCCAAACCACAGCCTGAGCCTGACAGCCTGAGCCTGAGCCTGACAGCCTGAGCCTGAGCCTGAGCCTGAGAGCCTAGCCTGAGCCTGACAGCCTGAGCCTGAGCCTGAGCCTGAGCCTGACAGCCTGAGCCTGAGCCTGACAGCCTGAGCCTGACAGCCTGAGCCTGAGCCTGAGCCTGAGAGCCTGAGCCTGAGCCTGAGCCTGACAGCCTGAGCCTGACCTGAGCCTGAGAGCCTGAGCCTGAGCCTGAGCCTGAGCCTGACAGCCTGAGCCTGAGCCTGAGAGCCTGAGCCTGACAGCCTGAGCCTGAGCCTGAGAGCCTGAGCCTGACAGCCTGAGCCTGAGCCTGAGCCTGAGCCTGAGCCTGACAGCCTGAGCCTGAGCCTGACACCCTGAGCCTGACAGCCTGAGCCTGAGCCTGAGCCTGACAGCCTGAGCCTGACAGCCTGAGCCTGACAGCCTCACAGCCTGAGCCTGACAGCCTGAGCCTGACAGCCTGAGCCTGGGGTGGGGTGGGGGCAGAGTCGGGATTACTGCAGGTCGAGCCCTTGTGCTGCTGAGGGTTTGGGGCTGTGAGTCTCCCCAGAGGTGGGGAATTGGACAGATTTTCTCTATATATCTCTTTATATATATAAATATATATATCCCTTCCCCTCCCCTTTCCCCTCCTCCTTCCCCTCCCCTCCAGGATGGAGTGATCGTGCGGGATCTCAGCTGTTCTTCTCCTCCAGGACCGACTTGAGAGCGATGGGGTGTTGGGTCCTTCTGCCCCTCCTGACTGGGATCGTTTCCATCGCTGGGACTTGGACAGTGTAAGGACATTTAACAGCACAAACCTTTTCACCTGAATCGCTGAACACTGGGGCTGACACTCCGGGGCTATTTTATCCCCCTTCCCCTCTCCCCCTCTCTCTCGCTCCCTCCTATCTCCTCTCTCTGTCTCCCTCCTATCTCCCCTCTCTCTCTCTCCTATCTCCCCCCTCTCTCTCTCCCTCCTATCTCCCCCCTCTCTCTCTCTCTCTTCCTCCTATCTCCCCCCCCCCCCTCTCTCTCCCTCCTATCTCCCTCCCTTCTCTCTCTCTCTCTCTCTCCCTCCTATCTCCCCCCCTTCTCTCTCTCTCTCCCTCCTATCTCCCCCTCTCTCTCCCTCCTATCTCCCCCCTTCTCTCTCTCTCTCCCTCCTATCTCCCCCCCCCTCTCTCTCTCTCTCCCTCCTATCTCCCCCCCTCTCTCTCTCTCTTCCTCCTATCTCCCCCCTCTCTCTCTCCCTCCTTCTCCCCCCCTCCCTCTCTCTCTCTCCCTCCTTCTCCCCCTCTCTCTCTCCCTCCTATCTCCCCCCCTCTCTCTCTCTCCCTCCTAACTCCCCCCCACCCTCTCTCTCTCTCTCTCTCTCTGTGTCTCTCTCCACACTTTAAACTTTATCTCAACTTTTTCCCCCTAAACTTTTTGCTCAGGCAAACGCTCACTGCTCCCTTCCGGGTTTTCTGATCTAGAAGGAGTCAAATCACTTGAAACTCCACGATCTCACCTCTGTCCTAAGAGGGATTTCTTGCCCTCTGGGGATAGGGACCGAGTAAGGCATTGTGAGGGTTAAACCCCGATATAAAAGTGTAGGAATTCCACCCTGGTTCAGATCTTTGAGCTGCACAGTCAAACCACTTTGCAGAACTGTATATCCCGTGAAGCGCTTTGAGAAGTCTCAGCACTGTGATAGTAATAAGCCTCAATAAACCTCTCAAAGCGCTTCACGGAATACACTGTAAAACGAATTGACTGTGTATTTTGAGGGCAAAACGCAGCAACCACTTGCGCACAGGAGTGTCCCACAAACAGCCGTGGATTGAGTGCACGATGTTTTCTTTGAATTTAAAGCCCTATAGCAAATGCGAGGATTATTATTGTTATTCATTATTTTACTCTATTTCTACGTGGCATTTCAGAGCGTGCAGAGTTTTGGCAAGTTCTTAATTTTGTTTTTATCAGTAAGTTTCTTGTCAAGATATTAGCCCGGTGCAGGGGTAGCATTCTCCCTTCTGAGTCAGAGGGCTGTAGGTTCAAGCCCCAAGTTGGGACGTGGAATCATATTGTATAAGATGACATTCCAATGCAGCACTGGCCGGGTGTTGCATTGTCGGAGGTGCGGTCTTTTGGATGAGACGTTAAGCTGAGGTCCCTTCTGTCTGCTCAGGTGGATTTTAAAGATCCCACGGCACTATTTCAAAAGTGAAAGGAGTTTCTCTCTCTCCCGGTCCTGGCCAATAATCCCCCAAATAAAATTGTTCGCTCACTCCAAGGCAGTTCGTGGAATATTCCTGTGTGCAATGGGTTGCTGTGTTTGCCCACAAAATAACGCAATGAGGAATGAGGAACTTTCAGTGAATTATTTTAATGACGCCATTGAGGGGGGGAAAAGGTTTCCATTCTGACTTTGGCATATTTGAGATTTCTAGCAGTTGTTGTTTGAGTGTTTTTTTTACAATCAATTTCCCCGCGATGCATCACGTAGCATTGGATTGACAATGAGCGCTGACAAGGGCAACTCACCATACCATACGTTGCTCACTCAACAATAAACCAAGTTCTTGTGGCAAATCCCGTGACCAGTGCAGTGCGAAACATTCGCTTTCTTTCATCACCGAACCGACCCTGGGGATTCCCAAGGCTTTACGGGATGTAACTTGCAAGAGCATTTGTAACTGGTTAATCAACAACAACAACAACAACCACTAGTATTTGTCACATGGGGAAGTGTCTTGGAACTCTTAACGATGGCAAAGCCTGACACCAAGTCCGGAGGGGGTGGGGGGAGGGAGAGAGGGAGGGACGGAGGTGGATGTCTGCGGCTCCCTCAACAGCCATCATTTCAGTCCCACTTATCTACTCTTTCCCCACACCCCTGTAGCTGCCTCTTTTTAGGTTACCTGTCCAGTTCCCTCTTGAAAGCCAATATGGATTTTGCAACCAACACCACCGCTCCCGGTAGGGTGTTCCATATCCTAACCATTCTGTGCTTGAAAACATTTCTCCTAACCTCCCCATTAGCTTGTTTACCAACTAACATAAATTGATGCCCTTTAGTCACTGACTCAGTGACCAGTGGAAATAATTTCTCACTATTGACTCTTATCAAAACCCTTCATAGTTTTAAAAGATTTACAAGTCCTTGGGCCAAACTCGCAAGTTAGACCACAGGTTGTCGATGACTGAAGACACGGTCGAAAAGGAAAGTCTTGAGATGGGCCTTGAACAACTTTGTATTGGCAACATATGTGATAATCCTGATGCTTCACAAAATGTCTGGTGCGAGTGATGTGCTTTAGCTAGGGCTGGTGATGGTCACTATCATTACGTTCGCTTCTACTGTGTTGAGGGTCTGTGCTGATGGCTATTTCCAACATTGGAGGGGCTGATTCGTATCAAGAGGTGATGGTACGGTGGGGGTGGGGTTATGTTAAGGGGTGATGGTGGGCGGAGACTGATTTATATCATTCGAAGATGGTAGCAGTCTTTTAGAGCTAGAATGGGCATACAGGGAGCCTCGTTGTTGCTGTAAAATCATATTGATTCTTTAATTCGCTCATGTGTTTCTCTCTCTCTCACCTAGGTACGGGATTGCTCTGGCACACGGCCATGTGTGCCCCTTAACCAACTGGTAGGTTTGGATTTTGGTTTCAATCAACATGTTGCTCAGCGTAAAGGAGTGGAGCTTCTGATGATGGAGGTAAACCAGCCTCCATCTCTGGACCTTCATCTCCATCATCCCTCCCCTCTATTACTGCCAAGTAATTCGATGTTGCGTTTTCACCCACAAAGTACACAGTCAATCTACTTTACAATATATTCTATGAAGTGCTTTGAGACGTCTCAACGATGTGATAAGGCGCTATATCAAATGCAAGGCTTATTATTCTGTTCAATAATAATAAATAATAACCCTTGCATTTGGTAGAGCACCCTTTCACATCAGGAGGATATCCCAAAGCGCTTCACAGGATTTACTGTGAAATAGAGTGACTCGGTATTTGTAGGCAATGCAGCAGATCATTAATAGGACGGGTGGAGGCAAGGTCCATTCCATTACCCCTCAAAGCTTTTGAAACTTTAAATATTGTTCAGAAGTAAGAACTTAATTATAATAAAAATTTTCACATTTGATATAACTCCTGATCACCTGATTGAAAGATCTCAAAACGCTTCACAGGATTTACTGTAAAGTGCGGTGACTCTATTTTGTACGTAAACGCAACAGCCAATTTGCGCACGTGAAGTGAATGATCAATTTTATCTGAGGATTGTTGGCCAGGACACTGGGAGAGAGAAACAAAATGTCAAGAGATCTTTAACATCCACCTAAGTGGGCACAGATGGGACTTTGGTTTAACACCTCATCTGAAGGACAGCACTTCCAACAATGCTGTGCATCCCTGAGCACAGTTTCGCCCACAAATTTACCGTCAATTCACTTTACAGTATATTCTGTGAAGTGCTTTGAGACATCTAGAAGACACGAAAAACACTATATCAAATGCAGGGATTATTATTATTATATTTTTGCACAGCGCTGGAGTGTCAGCCTAGATAGACTAGGTTGGATTGTTTACAGCACCTTATCACATTGAACACTTAAGACACTTCACGAGTAATTAACATCAAGTGTAACCGTGTTTATAGGCAAACAGTTTTAACGCATTTGTTGTGAGATGCTAGTAGCACCACTTAGGCTAAATAGTTGAGTGATTGGGAGAATTATTGTGCATTATCTATGCACTATTCACAGTGATTGATAATAATAATAATAATAATAATAATCCTTGCATTTGATATAGCGCTTTTCACGTCGGGAGGACGTCCCAAAGCGCTTCACAGAACACACTGTAAAGTGAATTGACTGTATATTTGTGGGTGAACGCGGCAGCCAATTGCGCACAGCAATGTCTTGACTTGTCTTTTCCAGGGAGTACAATTATACCTGCCCAATTAATACCACCACAAAATGCTGCACAGAGAAAAACATGCCGTATGTAAGGTAAGGAATGTCTCTGCAGTGTGTAGTGGTGACCTCAGCCTCACTACCAGTCGGTGCGCGCACAGTCCCAACATTCCACCTTGTCTCATAGAAAAGTGGTCTCGCAGTTTAAGGCTGGTATCATTTCAGCTCTCAGCAGGACAGGAGCGGTTACACTGCAGAAGAGACTGTGATTCCACGGTCTTGAACGTGGGGCTCGAACGCACAAGCTTCTGACTGAGAGGCGAGAGTGCTTGCACTGAGCCAAGCTGACACTGGGAACTCCACCTCACTAAGTAAACAGAAGATTCCGAATGCCAGCGCTGACTAACCGGTTCCGTGCGAGTTCATTCGCAAATCATGTGTCAGAGGATTTTGTTTTGTTTCGTTTTAGAATATGCTTAAAGAACCAAGGCCTCTACATTAATGAGTGACACAATGCTGTGTGTGTGTGTGTGATGTGTATACCTCTCTGCACTGTATGTGATTGATTGCCGAAAGGAGGGATGATTTGGCTGTTGCTGATTTGATTTGACATTGGGACGAAAGTGAAAGGCTTTTTAAGTGAGACATATTATCGCTGGTTACTAAGGATGTGGTCTCTTTATCAGAAGTACCTTGCCTGCCCTGAGCTAATTTTGCCTCCCCCGGCGGTCACTGTTTGTAGTCAGACTGCAAACCTAGAAATTCCTGACGCTCATATAGTTGGTGTTCTTGCCTGTCTTGCACATTATTGTGTGCTCGTGTAGATGGGCTGAAAAATTCTCATGGTTTCAGCCTTGAAACCACGATCATACAAATTAAGATTGCCCAGAAGTTGTAAAAAATTCAAATTCAGCCTTAAACCTGGAAGACATTTTTCCGCATCTCTTAAAGAAATTAGCTCAACAACAATTTTGCATTTATACAGCACCTTTCACATCGAGATGATGTCTCAAAGCACCTCATTCCCACCCCCCTTCCCCCGCCCCCCACTCGCCTACCTCCCCGCCCTGAACTGAGGGTTGAGGGAGAGAGGAAGAAATTTGGGATGGAGTTCCAGGGAAAACTTCCAATGAAGTGCTTTGAGCCGGGAGGAGCCGTGCGGGGCAGTAAGGTGGTAGACATAGGGTGAGGCGAGGCATTGGAGGGATTTGAACATGAGCACGAGGATCTTGGATTTGATCTGCTGGGGGATAGTGGAGCCAGGGAACATCTCCTGAGCATTTAGAGCTTCTGTCATGTGAATGAGCCATGTGTCTCCACTGCTCTTTGTGCTGTCCAAGGGTTCGCCTTGCACAGCATCGTGTGACATATTGTTCCATCCCTTTCAGCACCAGTGGTGTACGCTTCCCCGAAAATTCTCTCTACAGTGCAGTGCTCAATGCAGTCGCTTTCTTGTGTAAGTAATGTACCATAAGATTTGCCATACACTAATGTAGACTGTACAGCACAGAAACAGGTCACTCAGCCTAACAAGTCCGTGCCAGTGTTTGTACTCCACACAAGTCTTCGCTCATTCCTTAGTCCCTCCCACATTCTTCCATGTCCCACTCCCTCATGTGAAGGGCTAGCTTCCTCTTTAAATGCATCTACAGCATCTGATTCAACCACCATTTCGGGTAATGAGTTCCACCTTCTCACGAGCTTCTGCATGGGTACAAAGTGGCAATGTGTTTGCTTCACTTAAACCATTATAACCCGGAGGCAGGAAGACGGAAGTAGTGATGGGGATTTGAGTTTTCATACAGTGGGAAACACTTTGTAATGTTACCAAATTGTAGAGTCCTGCAACTCAGTGGTTAGAGAGTTCGCCTTGCAAGTGAGAGGATCTAAGTTCAATTCCCAGGCAGGTCGTCTCACTTGCGAGGACTACAGGACTCCACATGTATGTATTTTGTGATATATTTCTTTGGGGAGGACAAGTTTGCAGGGCTATGGGGAGAGAACGGGGGAATGGGATTGAATTGGAAGCTCTTTTCAAAGAGCCAGCACAGACACGTTTTGGCCGTATGAATATGTGCTGTATAATTCTATAATTCTATGATTCTATGATTAGACAAGATTCCTTACTCCACATTCCTTGGTTTACCTAGCAGTAAGTAGGAATCAATTAGTCAATTAGTGGATCGCATTCTGTGGTTAATAAACCCTTCAAAATAAATAAATCAATAAACAAAATAATAAATTGGTAACTCAATTCACGACCTTTAGTGGGACACTGCTGTGTTTGCAATTGGCTGCCTCGTTTCACCCACAAAATATACTATATATTCAATTTTCAGTATATTGTGTGAAGAGCTTCAAGATGTGATCAGCCGCTATATCAGATGCAAGGATTATTATTAGGATTATTATTACTATTTTTACAGTGGGTGGGCAAGTTGGTGTGCTCTTAGGGCAGAGAGGTGCTTGTTGACTGACTTCTCTCTGCTTCTCCTCTTCCAGTTGTGGTGCTGTGTGTTTTCCGACATGCTCAGATAGTGGAACAGAAGGGGGATGAAATGGTACTGAGTAAGGTAGCTCTGATCATGGGCTGTTTCGCTTCTGTGGGAGGTTTCCTTGCTGGAAACTGCAATGTAAGTCTTTGTGTTTATCTGTGTTTATCTATTGCAAAGATGTATATTGTACTAAACCTAAAATGAACCAAATTTACCCTCCACTGAGGGACTAAGCAAATTAACGCTGCAAGAATCGAGATTTAACCAAATTAAACCTATATTGATTTGGGACTAACCAATTTTGCCCTTCATTAATCTGGGACAAACCAAATCAACCCTGCGCTAATCTGAGAATAACTACAAAATGCAGTCAATCCACTTTACAATCTATTCTTTGAAGCACTTTGAGACGTCTCAATGACATGATAAGGATATCAAATGCAAGGATTTAGTTATTATTATTAACTAAATTAATCCTGCGCTAACCTAAAACTAATCAAAATACCCCTTTACTAATTTAGGTCCAACCAAATCAAACTGTTCTAATCTTGGACCCTATGCTGAATTGAGACTAATCAAATTTACCCTGTACCAACCTACAATAACCTAATTAGACCTGCACTAATCTGGGACTAAACCAAATTAGCCCTGCACAAACCAGGGTTAACCCAATTCAACTCTGCGCTAACATAAGGCTGACCAAATTAAACGTCGACTAACCTAGAACAGAGCTGATGAGGAGGGATAGGAATTGACACCAGACCACCAAAGTTTGTACAACAGCTGAGATTTTCATTAAGAGACTTTCATTGGTTGTAATAGCTGAAACCATGGCGAGGAATAGTAGCAGTTGTCAGAGATATTGTGCCAGTTATTGATCTTATCACATAGCAGTGCATTAAATCTGTCTGCTTTCCTTTTAGTTATTTGCTGCCCAGGGAATACACTACTTTGGAGCTTCTTTGTGTTTCGTCGCTGCTTGTTTTTATGCAGTTTTACAGACCGTTTTGACATACAAGGTCCGTGTAACCGGGAAAGAGTGTTTCCTGGCACCTCTACGCACTGTGTTGGTCATCATCGAGGTGTTATTTTCCATCATCTGTATCCTTCCGGGGTTGTGTCGGTTTATGGTGGAGAGCATTCAGGTTGATTATACAATCAGAAGAAATTTACATAGTGTGTGTAATTAGTGTAGATCTGTTGTGGAGTCCTGTATTGTATTGGTTGGAGCACTCGACTCGCAAGTGAGAGTACCCTAGGTTCGATTCCTGGGCAGGGCGGAACCTTGGGCAAGTTTCCTTACTCCTCTGGTTAGTCGATTGGCAGATCACTTTCCGGGGGTAATAAATAATATTTAATATTTTAAAATAACAGTAATTTGGTCATTCAATCCACAACTATCTGTGGGACACTGCTGTGCGCAATTGGTTGCTGCGTTTCACCCACAAAAATATACAGTCAATTTACTTTACAGTATATTCAGTGAACCACTTTGAGAAGTCTCAACGACATGATAAGGAGTTATATCAAATGCAAAGATTATTATTATTAAGAGAGGGCCCAGTTTCAGGATTATTATTATTATTGTTACTCCCTCTGACACCCTTGGACTCCTTTCTCCCTCATGTGCATATTTAGCTTCCTCTTGCATTTCAAAGAATGTGATCAGCTTCTCACAGGTGAGAGTGCAGATGGGAACGCATGCACAGGTTGGTGACTGAGGTCCCTCTGCATGGTTACCAGGTGCTATTCATGCTGGTGAATGGTATACTATTGCTACTCCATTGATTGGCACTCCAGCCAGACAGTACAAAGACCCAAGTCTTTGCTGATCCAAATCAAGCAAGGATTTGTTGATGTAAAAATACTCAATGATCTTAAGGGCTACTGGTTTCTCACTGAAATAGCAAATGAAAGAAGCAAAGAGAGAGAGACAGACAGAGAGAGTCACACAGAATGGCTGCATGTTTGTTAGCAGTAAGAGAACCCAAAGTAGATCCAGTCAGGTGACAGTGCAGTGGAGCCTCTCCTCAGTGACGGAGATCCTATCTGAGTGCTATCCAGTCTACTGAATCTGCACCCGTGCTCTATATCCTTTACCTCAACACTGAATGCTAATGCAAACATTGAAGAATCTTCCTTGAGAGCTCCCCCAATGTCTCAAAGCTTGTGTGGGTAAAGAGTCTCAATGCATGAAAGGCACTATATCAGATGCTAGGAATATTATTATCAATAATCCCTCTAGTGGATGTAAGAGGGGGTAGTGGTGATGGTGGGGGACGGGAGGGAATTGACGTGTAGGGAGGAGATGTGAGAGGAGATGTAGCTTAGTGAAGTGTTCTTCCCTAGGATTTTATCCTTGACTCATCTCCAGTCGTGGCCTTTATCATCCATCCAGTCCTCAATTATCGACACGTGGGAGCCATCGCTGAATGGGTCGTGTGCACAAATTTCCATATCTTTGTTATGACACTTGCCTTCGAGTTCTTTTCTATCACCTCGTCAGTGCTCCACACACTGATCAACAAGCCTGAGGATGAGAAGGTCGCCATTCTATCAGATCACAAAGGTACAGGCCTCAATACATTCAACAAATTACACTAACCAACTAAAGCCGGACTTTAGGAACCTTTAACGCTTAGTCCTTAGAATATAGGATGTTGGTCTCTTCATCGTTAGAAAATGCTTTGGTTGCTGATGAATACCATCATGATATATAAGTCCGTGGAAACCTCATGAATTTTAAAGACAAATGCTGCCATCACTGCACTGGGATTAGGTACTCTACCTGCACATTGCACTTAACTCAAACCTTAAGGGACTGCTAAGGTTTTGTGACAAAAGCTGAACACAGCACCGGTGCAATTAGCGACCTTTGTTCGAAGGGATATTACCTGTTTTGAATTGTTCTTTGGTTCTCAGCTTCTCTCCTTTGTAATCTCTCCACTGAAATCTACACCAAATAAACCGTGCATCTACTACAGTTATGATATAAGCCGTTGGCATTTTCAAAGCTGATAAATGGTTGGAAAGCTTTAGCCAGCAGTGAAACACCGTCTCCACGAGTGAGACCTGGGACATCCTCCCGACGTGAGGATATATAAATGCAATTTGTTGTTGTTGTTGTTGTTGAGGCTGGGCTAACAGCTCAGAGGTCTTTGGGTTGAGTTAGCTGGTCCCAGACCAGCAGTTGGAACTAGAATTAGTCTCTTCACCCCTTGAGGTTCAATGAACCCTCCCCACCATTGCCTGAGCAGATTGTACTACAGCATCCCTGCAGTTAAATTCAGTGGCGTCTGGTGGTGGAATATGTGGAGAGGCCACTTGAAGTGCAAATAAGAGTGACCAAGACATCCCCTCAGTGGCACACACTGGGGTCACGTCTGTGTGGCATCAGGGTCCATAAAAGATCAGCGCCACACGTCACAAATGCATCACAACATTACGTCGCCTGCAACCATTCTAAATCAGGAACAGGACACGCATCTAAATATGTAGTGTGTGTATGAGTGTGTGAATGAATGCGACTCAGTAAGTCACAGCCCCGAACACATTTCAACCCAGGTTCAGCTGTCAGACTGGGTCTTTGATTGCCAATCACTGGCCTCTCCTCCTCAGCTGGACCCAGGGCCTTTTCTCCCACAACACCTGGCTTTCAGTTGCTGTTTCAGTTGCTCTCTGTCCAGTCAGGCTCACACACACACACACAGAGTCACCAGCACACGCCAGCTCCAACACCATCCTTATAACATGCGACAATGAACACATTCTGTGCTGTAGGTGGAGATGAGGACATTGCCAAGTAAGTAACCAACAGATTTTTGATTCTCTTCTTGTAAGCAGCTTGTGTGTGCAATGCTTCTCTCGTGTTAAAGCCTCGCCTTTACCTGCTTCTTGATGCTATGTCAACTCTTCTGCATCTCCTAGACAGAGTCTTGCTGACTGCATTGATGCACTCTATCATCCCGTCTCTTTTCCTGGTCTCCACAGAGTGGAGTCCTGTAGCGTAATGGTTTGCGTGCTCGCCTGGCAAGCGAGAGGACCCAGGTTCGATTCCCAGGCAGGGTGAAAACTTAGGCAAGTCTACTTACTCCATGCGCCTCTGTTTAGCTACCAGTAAGTAGGAACCCAATTGTTAGTCGATCAGCCGATCGCTTTCCAGGGGTAATAATCCCTTCAAAATAAATCAATAAAATAATAATTTGGGTCACCCAATCCATGACTGTTTGTGGGACTGTGGTTTGAATGGATGCCATGTTTTGCCCACAAAATACACAGTCAATTCACAGTATATTTTATGAAGCGCTTTGAGATGTTTCAATGATGTGATAAGGCGCTATTTCAAATGCAAGGATTAGAATTAGGATTATTATAACTCAACATAAAATGCGCGAGAGTGCTGTCATAACCAATCTCTAGAGCTCTCTGCTTCTATCCCACTACCTTGCCCACATGCTATCTATCTCCAACCTTAAAATCTACCTCTTCGACTGCGCTTATTGTCACTTTCCTCCCGGTCGCTGTGAAGTGCTCAGAGGCGTTATCCTACATAAAGGATGGTATATAAATGCAAGTTGTCGTTGTTGCTGATTGCTTATTTTTATGATACTGCGCTGGTTAGTAATTTGCTAAGGTTAAAAGAAAATTGAAAAAATTGCTGGTTGGAATACAGTTTTCTAATAATAGGTTTAAAAAAAATCCCAGCCTGTATTGTGAAGTGGAGCATTGCCAAAGTCAGAACACAAAGCACTGTTCTCTCAATAATCCCAATAAGTGCATATGTGTGGCCGTTGGGAAGAGAGAGAATTGGTCTTAAATTCCAGTCTAATAGCTTGGCCTCCACAGCAAACAACAGCTTGATTCACACAGTGCCTCTCACGTATCAAATGCATGGATTATTATTGTTAAATAAACATCTCAAATTGATTAGAAATAAAATGAACACTGTTTTGGAGTCTTGTAGCTCAAAGGTTAGAGGACTCGCCTCGAAAGTGAGAGGACCTGAGTTCGATTCCCAGGCAGGGCGAAATGTTGGGCAAGTTTCCTTACTTAACACGCCTCTGTTTACCTAGCAGTAAGTAGGAACTCGGTTGTTAGTCGAATGGTGGATTGCTTTTCCGGAGGTAATAATCTTTAACATCCACCTGAACAAGCACAGAGGGGAACTCGGTTTAAAGTCTGATTTGAAGGATGGCGCGTCTAACAATGCAATGCTCCCCCAAGGGAGTTAAATTCCTGTTGTGGGACTCGCACCCACAACCCGTGAATCAGAGGTGAGAGTGCTAGCAACTGAGCCAGGCTGTGAGGAAAACAGTAGAAGCTAGAGTAACCAGGTGAAAATCTCCACTCCTTTAAAAAGTTTGCCATTCTCATAAAAAAAATTGGCAAGGTTCCCAGAGGGCGTTAAATGGATGTAATCTGAGTTGTTCCGATCTGGAATGCATTGCTTGAAAGGGTGGCGGAAGCCAATTCAATAACAACTCTTAAGAGAGAAGTAGATAATTATTTGGGGAGGACAAGTTTGCATGGCTACAGGGAGAGAGTGGGGGAGTGAGATTGATTTGGATAGCTCTTTTCAAAGAGCCAGCACAGACACGATGGGCCAAATGGCCTCTTTTTGTGCTGTATAATTCCATGATTCTATGATTCAAGTAGTCCTAACTATGAAGTGAATGATCAATTTATATAGCGGCCTATTGACCAGTCACTGGTCTTCTCTTTTTGTATTTTTATAGGATTTAATAATTTGTATAATAATAATAGCTTTTGATATAGTGCCTTATCACGCCGTTGAAATGTCTCAAATACGGAATGTATTGTGAAGTGGATTCACTGTGTATTTTGTGGGTGAAATAAATGGATGGATTATTATTAGCAGGAAGTAAAAGATTTGAAACATCTTTGAGACTAGCTGAGGAAAATAATCAGGAAAAAGAAAGTTCCCTAAGTTGGTGACACGCTGTCAAATGAAAGCAGAGATATTGTGCAATGCCCTTTCCAAAGCCTGGTACGTGGGAGATTTGCAGCTGGATTGTATTACATTTCTGCATGTTTATCTTGGCACAGTCTATGAATAGAGAGTCGAAAGATGTCATATATCATCCACAGTAGTCAGAGAAGTACCAATTGTACAGTATAGGTTGTAACAGGTTCTCACCTCCCCACTCGAGTACTCCGATATCTTCCTCACCAGTCTCCCCAGCAACACTATACACAAAATCCAGTTAATCCAGAACTCAGCCACCTATATGCTCACCCACAATAAACTCTGTATCCCCATTCACACTAGTTCCAGCCAGGCTCCACTGGCTCCCTATTACCAAATAGATTGATTTCAGGATCCTCACAGTCGTCTCCAAATCCCTTCATGACCTGGCACCTCCTTACCTTTCTGATCTACTTACTCCCCAAACCACCACCCATCGCCTGCGCTCAACTAACTCCAGTCTCCTGCTAGTCCCTCATGCCCTCCATTCTACCATCAGTGGCCGTATTTTCAGCCATTATGCCTCGAAACTCTAGAACACTTTCCCTCAATCCCTCCGCCTTGCCCTCTCCTTCCCCATCTTCAGGTCGTACCTGAAGAACTTTCTCTTCGATCGTGCTTACGGCCACCTCCCCCAACCCCGGCTCCACCACTGTCAAGCGTTCTGAGACGCTACCCTGAATGAGGGGCATGATATAAATGCAAGTTGTTGTTGCAACACACCTCAGGGTTCTTCACTTATTCTGTTTACACCTTGTTAACTCACTAATTCTAACATAAAATGATAAGAGTTGGATATAAACGTTACTTTGGACGGGACACAACATGGGATTTATGGATTGGGGGCACGGTTTTGGTGATGTTGCATTGAGATGGTTCTACTTGACGCCCAATGTAACAATTGAAACCATTCAGAGAAAAAAAAGAGGAAAAAAAAGTGCAGAAGGGAATGACGGAGTGAAGCCTAGAAGCGTGAGCTAATTCAGGCTCGAGTATTCAGCACAGCCTGGCTCAGATCATGGCACTAGGGTTTCAAACTCCAGCCTGACGCTCAGGTGGGGTGTTGAAAATGCACTGCATTGACAGTGGTGCTATTGTTCAGACGACACATTGAACCAAGGTTCCACCTGGCTGCTCAGGTAGACGTTTAAAGATCCCACCTAGGACACGGCTCAAAAAGAGAAGGGAGTTTCTCCTGGTAGTTTGGCTAACAATCCACAAGATTTTTTAAAAATCGGTCACTCACTTCATGACTGTTTGTGGGACATTGCTGTTCATAAAATCGGCTGTCATGTTCACCTACAAATGCACAGTCGATACATTTTGCGGAAAATTTTGGTGAGGCTCGTTGAGGCAACAACAGCAAGATTACATTTGCATAGCGCCTTTCACGTCGGGAGGACGTCCCAAGGCGCTGGACAGTGTACAGCATTTCAGACCTGAGCTGGGGTCAGGGGAGGAGAAGTGATGGGAAGGGTAGGAGATGACCAATGGCATGGTCGAAGAGGAGGGTTTTGAGGCGGGACTTGAAGGAGGCTAAGGAGGGGGCGAGGCGGAATGATTGGGGGATGGAGTTCCAGAGGTTGGGGGCAGAGTGACTGAAGGCTCTCCCGCCAATGACGGGGAGAGTGGGTCGGGGGACATGGAGCAGGCCAGAGCCAGCTGAGCGGAGAGAGCGGGTGGGTTGGTAGGGGGTTAGGAGGTCACAGAGATAGGGTGGGGTGAGATCATTGAGGGCTTTGTAGGTGTGGACCAGGATCTTGAACTGGATCCTCTGAAGGATAGGGAGCCAATGGAGTCAGGCAAAAATGGAGGAGATGGGGTCACAGAGTTTGGTGCGGGAGAGGATACGGGCTGCAGAGTTCTGGATTATCTGCAGCCTGTGGAGGGAGGAGTTGGGAACTATATATAAAAAAAATGGGAAGGCCGACAAGCAGGGCGTTTTCATAGTCGAGCCTGGAGGTGATAAAGGTACGAACAAGAGTTTCAGCGGC